CAACCTACCGATCTTAGTCAGATCTCCCCATCTTTACTTGTACTTACTGGTGTGGGCGTGGTGATCTCCGTAGGGCCGTAGCATCTGCGTAGGTGTGCGTGTCCACTGCTGGACTCAAGATACTGGAATTCTCGGTACACAGGCCACCCCTGTCCCACTCACCTCCCATCCTTGACCCCTGGCAATCAGCAGTCTGTCTTCTGTTCCTAAAATTGTGTCATTTCCAAAATCCAGTCATATAGTTTGGGATCCTTTTGGGATCGGCTTTTATCTGCTCAGTGCAATTCCCTGCAGGTTCATCCAAGTTACACGGGCAGCACTGGTTTTGTTTTGGTTTGATAAGTAGTATTACATTGTGCACGTGTGTACTGCAGTCCAGGACATCTGGGCTGATCCCAGTTTGGGGCTGTTACAAATAAAGCTGCTGTGAATGTCGTGTGTAGGTTTGTGTGTGAAGACGTGTTTACTTTCCGATAAATCAGCTAGGAGCAGACCTGCTGGGTCCTGTGGCAAATGCCAGGTAGTTTTCCAGAGTTGCCTTGAGCCCTTGTAACCCATCTCTGCTCTGCCCTCCGCTTTCGGGCATCCTTGTGTAGACGACTTTGCGTTTGTTGGAGTTTCACGTAAGGAACTCCTACATTCTCATTTAGGTCTGGCCCCTTTCGTTCAGCAGCATGCTTCAGGAGTCATCCGTGGTGTTTGTGTGTCATCGTGGCTCATTCCCTTCGTGCTGAGCAGCAGTCCATTCCGCGGGTAGACCCCTTTCTGTTTATCCATTCACCTGTCTGGACATTTGGGTTGTTTCCAGATTTTGGCTATTGTGAGTAGAGCTGCTATATCAACAATGGTGTGTAAGTCTTTGGGAGACATACGTTTTCATTTCATGTAGGAAGTGCTATACGTAGCAGAGGGATTGCTGGGTTGTCTGGTGAGTGTGTGTTTAACTTTTTAAAGCACTACCAGGCTGTTTTCTAAAGGGGTTGTACCGTGGGCACCTGGGTGGCTCAGTCGGTTAAGCGACTGCCTTCGGCTCAGGTCATGATCCTGGAGTCCTGGGATCGAGTCCCGCATCGGGCTCCCTGCTCGGCGGGGAGTCTGCTTCTCCCTCTGACTCTACCCCCTCTCATGCTCTCTCTGTCTCATTCTCTCTGTCTCAAATAAATAAATAAAATCTTAAAAAAAAAAAATTTAAAGGGGTTGTACCGTTTGCCATTTTCAGCATGTGTGAGAGTTCATGTGGCCTCACATCCTTGCTAACGCTTGATGTGGGTCATCTTTTCAATACAAGCCATTCTGGTAGGTTGTAGTATCTCGTTTTATTCTGCATTTCTGAGTGACTGATTGATGATGGACATCTTTGCACTTACTGTGGGCCCCCTGTACACCAGTGTTGCTGTGGCTAATATATGCCCTTTGTATTTCCATACAAATTTTGAAATCATTTTCTCAGTTTTTGCAAAAAAGCTGCTGAGATTAGAGTTAAGATTGTATTGAATCTGTAGATTGATTTTGAGAAGATTGACAGTCTTGAGTCTTCTGATCCATGAACATGATAAAGCTCTATTTTTTTTAGGTCTTTTGTTTCGCTTGGCAATGTGTAGTTTTCAGTATAGGGGTCTTGTATGTCTCTTGTTAAATTTTATTCCTGGGGCGCCTGGGTGGCTCAGTCGTTGGGCGACTGCCTTCGGCTTAGGTCATGATCCCGGGGTCCTGGGATCGAGCCCCGCATCGGGCTCCCTGCTCAGCGGGAAGCCTGCTTCTCCCTCTCCCACTCCCCCTGCTTGTGTCCCCTCTCTCGCTGTGTCTCTCTCTGTCAAATAAATACATAAAATCTTTAAAAAAAAAAAACATTTATCCCTTGGGATGCCTGGGTGGCTCAGATGGTTAAGCATCTGCCTTCAGCTCAGGTCACGATCCCAGGGTCCTGGGATCGAGTCCCGCATCGGGCTCCCTGCTAGGCGGAGAACCTGCTTCTCCCTCTGCCGCTGCCTCTCTCTGTCTCTCTCTCTGACTCTCATGAATAAATAAATTAAAAAAAAATTGTTTCCCTAAATAATTCTATGGTTTTGGATGCTGCTGTAAATGAAATCTGTATGTAATAATATTTTCCAGTTGTTTACTGCTCTCGAATAAAAATATAGTTTTAAATATTTATATCCTGTCACCTTGCTAAATTCAATTAGTTGTAGTTGGTTTTTTTGTTTAGTTGGTTTTTTGTTTCATTGTTTTTGTTTTTTGTTGATCCCTTAGGATTTTCTGTATAAACAACCAAGTCATCTGTGAATAGGGATGGTTTTATGTCTTTTCGATTTTTTTTTTCCTGTCGCGGTGTTCAGGGTCCTAGAACAGTGTTGGCTAGAACTGGTGAGAGTAGGCATCCTTGTCACATTCTGATTTAAGGGAAAACCATTCAGTATTTCACTACTGAGCATATCAGCTATAGGTTTTTGGTTAGATGTCCTTTATCAGACTGAGGAAGTTCCCTTCTATTCCCAATATACTGAGAATTTTTTAAATCATGAATTAGTGTTGAACTTTGCCGCATGCTTTGATGAATCTTTGAGATGACCATGTGGTTTATCTCATTTGTTCTATAATATACTGGATTACACTGGTTTGTTTTGAAATGTTAAATCAGGCTTGCCTTCTTGGGATAATTTCTACTTAATTAGATTCAACTTGCTAATACTTTGTTAAGGATTTTTATGTCTATGTTTGTGACGGATTTTTTGGTAATGTCTTTATGAGGTCGTGCTGGCCTCCAAAAACAAGAAAAGTTCCCTCCTCCTCTGTTTTTGAAAAAGTTTGTCTAAGATTGATGTCTTTCTTGGATATTTGACAGAAAAGTCTCCAGGGCCTGGAACTTTGTGGGAAAGTTTTCTATTACAGATTCAATTGTATTAGTGTAACGCATTTAGGACTATTCAGATGTTCTGGTTCATCCTGTGTTAATTTGGGTAAATTGTGTTTTTCAAGGTATTTATCTGTTTCATCTAATTTTTGTCCATAATTTTCTCTATCATCTTTTTTTTTAAGATTTTATTTGACAGAGTGAGACACAGCAAGAGAGGGAACACAAGCAGGGGGAGTGGGAGAGGGAGAAGCAGGCCTCCCGCAGAGCAGAGAGCCTGACGCGGGGCTTGATCCCAGGACCCCGGGATCATGACCTGAGCCGAAGGCAGACAGACGCTTAACGACTGAGCCACCCAGGCGCCCCTCTCTATCATCTTTCTTGTGCCTGTAGGGTCTATAGGGATGACCCCTCTTTTTTTCCTTCCTCACCTCACTGATTTCTGTTCTTTTTTTTTCTTTTTTCGGCTGTTGATCAATTTTTTTTTTTAAGATTTTATTTATTATTTATTTGACAGAGAGAGACACAGCGAGAGAGGGAACACAAGCAGGGGGAGTGGGAGAGAGAGAGAAGCAGGCTTCCCGTGGAGCAGGGAGCCCGATGCGGGGCTCAGTCCCAGGACCCTGGGATCATGACCTGAGCCGAAGGCAGACGCTTAACGACTGAGCCACCCAGGCGCCCGGCTGTTGATCAGTTTTGTTGTTGTTTTCAAAGAGCCAACTTTTGGCTTAGTTAAATTTCTCTATCATTTATCTGTTTTTTATTTTGTTGATTTCTGCTCTTTATTATTTCCTTCCTTCCATTTCCTTTGGGTCTGTCCTGCTGCTTCTGGTGTTAGGAAGTTGAATGTTAGGTCTTGGCTAATATGTTACCTTTTACTACTCAACTGAAAATAACTGATTTCTTCTTTGAGTTACATGTTATTTTATCAGTGTGTTGGATGATGTTAAATACTTGAGGTTTTGGGGGCATCTGGGTGGCTCAGTCGGTTAAGCATCTGACTTTAGCTCAGGTCCTGGGATCGAGTCCCACATCAGGTTCCGTGCTCAACAGGGATCCTGCTTCTCTCTCTCCCTCTGTCCCTCCCCCAACTCATGCTCGCTCTCTCTCAAAATCTAAAAAAAAACCCCAAAAAAACAAATTCTATTAAAAAAATACTTGAGGTTTTCTTGGGTATCTTACTGTTGGGTTTCTAACTTAATTCTGCTAAGGTCAGGGAGCACACTGTGCATGATTTCAGTCCATTAAATTTATTGAAATTTGTATTAAAATCTAATATATGACATGTCTTGGTGATTTTTAAAAAACTGTTTATAGATGTCGGGTGTCCCGTATGTATCAGTTAGGTCATGGTAGTTGGTAGTGTTTTTTGGATCATCCATTTTTCTGTTGTTTGTCCATACTGTCTGTTTCTGAGAGATGGGTGCTAAGATTTTTATAGCTGTGTTGTGTGTTGTCCATTTCTCCTTTAATTCTGTCAATACTTGGATTAAAGGGTTCTTTTTTTTTTTAAGATTTTATTTATTTATTTGAGAGAGAGAATGAGATAGAGCATGAGAGGGGGGAGGGTCAGAGGGAGAAGCCCACTCCCCGATGAGCAGGGAGCCTGATGCGGGACTTGATCCCGGGATTCCAGGATCATGACCTGAGCTGAAAGCAGTCGCTTAACCAACTGAGCCACCCAGGTGCCCCTTGGATTAAAGGGTTCTGAGGCTCTGTCTTTAAAGTGTCTAGTTGGGTCTTGAGTCTTTCTCCATTCTGACAACCTCTTCTTTTTATTGGACTTTTTAGTCTAAAGAGATCATTACCCTTTTTCTTTGAGAATTTTAACTGTACTTGTTTGGATTTTTTATTTCGAGGGTGCTCTGGAGATTACAGTAAACATAGTTTTTTTACAGTCTACTTAGTGTAGCAATAGTCTAGCACTCCACAGGCACAATTGCAAACTTAGCCTCTAGGCCTCACATGGGACCACTCCCCACACCCCCTTACGTTGTAGTTAGATGTGCTGTGTCTGTGACCCTCATGGCCACCACCAGTGGTGTTGTGATTGCTTGCATAGAACAGTCATATGGAATAAAGTCCTCCAGCTCTGTGCTTGGAATCTTTATCGATACTCTTTGATGTTTTCTTTGCATTTTTCTTGTAGATTAGCCTACCATGGCCGACCAGAGACAGCGCTCACTCTCTACCTCTGGGGAATCACTATACCATGTTCTGGGGCTGGACAAGAATGCAACCTCAGATGACATTAAAAAGTCCTATCGGTAAGAGGCCTTGTACCTTGTGTGGTTTGATCTGCATTTACCAGGAACCACTGTGTGTCTCCCTGCCCCCAGTGGACTCTGTAGGTAACTGGGAACTCTTAGGTCCATTTTTGTATGCATAATGTGTTCCCTTATAGCTTAAAATTCTTATATTGGTATTTTCTTGGCAATAAAAAAGTAACACTTTGTAGATAATACACACTGTGTACCCTGGAGCGGCCAGTCCCACGGGGAAGCAGGTCTGAGCCTGCTCAGCAGATGGGGCTGACAGGCTCCTCCCCGTAGCCCTCGGCCGGAGCTTCTCCACGGCTTCAGGGAGTAAGCTGCAGAGACACAAGTCCTCGGTGATCCACACCCTTCAAGCAGCCCTGCTTTGTGTTCTTCCCGTTGTGTACTTCTCACACAGGAGAGAAGAGGCCTTTGCTGCTCCCTTTATTTGGCAAAATGTGCAGTGAAGCTGCGAGGACACTAGAGGTCAGCAGCAGGGTTTGCCTCTGAGCTGGAGAAGGGTGGGCTGCTGGCCATGCCTGCCTCCAGGGTAGCCCTCACCTGGGGGCTCCCTCCTCTGTGGCCAGGTCAGAGCCCGGAGCTTTGCCCCGAGAGGCTGCAGAGGTTTCTTCTGATGCTGACATTCTCGAACTCTGTGGAGAGTTGGGAAGTGACATGTAATGGGGAAGTGTTCCCTGCACCGGGCCCTCCCTCTCACAGATGAATGTGGAATAAGTGACAAAGAAATGGTTTTGGTTTGCAGGAAACTTGCCTTGAAGTACCACCCTGACAAGAACCCCGATAACCCAGAGGCTGCAGACAAGTTTAAGGAGATCAACAACGCCCACGCCATCCTGACGGACGCCACAAAAAGAAACATCTACGACAAGTACGGCTCGCTGGGGCTCTACGTGGCCGAGCAGTTTGGGGAGGAGAACGTGAACACCTACTTCGTGCTGTCCAGCTGGTGGGCCAAGGTGAGGGGAGCAGGCGGGCCCGTGCGGCCCCGGGTGCCCCGGGGGGGGGGGTCTCCTGCTGGGTAGGGCTTTGGGTCTTGCGGAGTCAGGGCCTTTGGTCCGAGTGCTCTGTGCCCCCGAGACACGGTTTCCGGGCGCGTGGCGGCCTTCCCTCCCGGTGTGTCAGTGCGGGGCCGGGTGTGCGGGGCCGGCTGCAAGCCCGCGCGCAGCCAGCCCGGCACCGAGCCGGCTGTGCCCCTTTCTCTCGTGAGTCACTGTGCGCCCTTGAACAGAGGTGGGCAGGGCCTTTCCGTCCTGTTGTGGGCAGCTGGTCGTCAGGGTGCGGGAAGACGTGTCAACTCTGACGTGAGACACCCGCGCACGTCGCCCCTCCTCCCTGTTGCCCAAGCACGTGTGGGCCGCGGGCGCGCGGCTCCGAAGACCCCTTTTCTCGGGGCCAGTGGGCTCCGTCCCTCTGCCCCCGCCCCCCCGTTGGCGGGAGCGCCCCCCCCAGTCTCAGCCCCCCCCGAGTCTCAGCCCCCCCAGTCTCAACCCCCGCCCCGAGTCTCAGCCCCCGGCCACCGAGTCTTAGTACCCCCCCCGTCTCAGCCCCCCCGTCTCAGTCCCCCCGCCGTCTCAGTCCCCCCGCCGAGTCTCAGCCCCCGCCCTCGAGTCTCAGACCTCCCCCCGCGTCTCAGCCCCACCCCCGCCGAGTCTCAGCGCCCCGCCCCCGAGTCTCAGCCCCCCCCGCCGAGTCTCAGCGCCCCGCCCCCGAGTCTCAGCACCCGCCCCCGGGTCTCAGCCCCCGCCCCCGAGTCTCAGCCCCGCCCCCCGCCGAGTCTCAGCCCCCGCCCCGAGTCTCAGCCCCACCCCCGTCTCAGCCCCACCCCCCCGCCGAGTCTCAGCCCCACCCCCGCCGAGTCTCAGCCTCCGCCCCCGTCTCAGCTCCCGCCCCCGAGTCTCAGCCCCGCCCCCCGCCGAGTCTCAGCCCCCGCCCCCGAGTCTTAGCCCCACCCCCCGTCTCAGCCCCGCCCCCGCCGAGTCTCAGCCCCCGCCCTCGAGTCTCAGACCTCCCCCCGCGTCTCAGCCCCACCCCCCCGTCTCAGCCCCACCCCCGCCGAGTCTCAGCACCCGCCTCCGTCTCAGCCCCGCCCCCGCCGAGTCAGCCCCGCCCCCGCCGTCTCAGCCCCGCCCCCGCCGAGTCTCAGCCCCCGCCCACCCTCCGGCCCGCGCAGGTGCTGTTCGTCGTGTGCGGCGTGCTCAGCTGCTGCTACTGCTGCTGCTGCCTGTGCTGCTGCTTCAACTGCTGCTGCGGCCGCTGCAAGCCGCGCGCGGCCCGCCGGCCCCGACCCCGGCGTCTACGTGTCCCCCGAGGACCTGGAGGCGCAGCTGCAGTGCGACGAGCGGGGTGAGTGCCGGCGGCCCCGGGGCGCGGCGGGGCGGGGCGGGCCCTGAACCCTGTCGCCCGTCTCGTCAAACAGGCGGGCACTGACGCTGCGGGCGTGTCCGCGCCGGCGGCGGGGACTGCGGTGCGGACGTGGACGCCGGAGCGAGGAGCGGACGCGGCCCGCGCGCCCGAGCAGGTGGGGAGGGACCGAGGGCCGGTGGCGACCCGAGGCGCCGGAGGCGGCGTGTGCTGGGGGGCGGTCCGCAGGCAGCCTCGCGCCTCCGGCCTCCGAGCCCGCGGAGCGGCGGCGACGGAGCAGGGACGGCGTCGGCGGGCCGCTCTGGGCCCGGGGCTCGGCCGCCGCGCTCACACGACGAGCGCCGTGTGCTTGCTTTGCAGAGGCCGCGGACTCGCCCATCGTCGTGCAGCCGGCGTCCGCCACAGAGACCACCCAGCTCACGGCCGACTCCCACCCCAGCTACCACACCGACGGGTTCAACTAAGCCCAGGAGCAGCTGCGACGGAGGACAGCTCGGCCCCCGGCCGCTTCACCCGTAGAACCACGGAGCGTAGTCCCAGAGATGGGGAGGGGGGCAGCTGCCGGCCCCCGCGGCCCTTCCCACCTCTGCGCCCCGCCCGCCCGCCCGTCGCCCCCCACACGTGAAGTGCGTCGCATGCAGTATTTAAAGCAGTTAGCTACGGTCTTCTTCTTCTTCTTCCTCCGTTTCCTCCTTTTTTAATAGCATGTATGGGGTTCTGTTCCATGTCTGTGTTGTGGACGTGCGGCGGCGTGACCGCGTTAACCGGACGGCGGAGCCTCCCGGGGCTCTCCACTCGCCGCTCCGACCTCGGCTGCGCGGGAGCGGGTGTGTCAGCCCCCCCGAGTCTCAACCCCCCCCCCCCCGAGTCTCAGCACACTCCTTTCCCGTGTGTCGGTGGGGGCCGGAGGCAGGTGCTGCCCGGCGGGAGCTGGGGGGTCTGACGCCACCCCGTGCTCTCCAGCTGTGCGCACCCAGGCAGAGCCTCTGGACGCAGTGTCGGGAAGGAGCTGCTGCGCCCTCCCTTTGCCCGGCCCCCTCGGCGTTTCCGTGCTGTTGGTTTGTGCGGGTCTGTTTGCCGTGGTTGCGTGGCCTTGTGGCCGGGTTTTCCCATGGGTAGGTTTGTTGTGGAAAGTGTGGGAGGCTCTACTGACCCCAAGACCACGTTTCCTACCTGGGTGCAGCCTCGGTCTCCATGTCACATGGTCCTGTGAGCCTGCTCCCTCGCCAGGCTGTGGGAGGTGGTTCTTCCAGCTCCCACACGTCCCCAGGCCACGAGCTGGATTGCTGGGGCCACATTCCTCCACCTCCTCTCCCCTTCGGCCACCCTCCACATTCCTTCAGGCCCCCCTGGCCGCCTGGGGGTCCTTTCTGGACCTCTAAGCACCACAAATGGTAGCAGGGGCTCAGCGTGCTGTTGTTAGAGGGGCTGACCATCCAGGTTGCTGGTGGAGCGTGGCTGAGCAGCCCTGGGAAGCACACGTGGGGAGCACAGCCCTCTTCTCTGTGCTGTCCAGGGCTCCTACCCACCCCCCTGTCCATCATCGCCTGTGCCCTTCAGTCACCGTTGATGGTTCAGGCAGAGCTAGAGACAGGTTCCTGGAGGAAGGACCGGCTGGACCAAAGGCACAGCCTGGTGCCCTTGGGTTGTGAGCCTGCAGCCTGACCGTGGAGCCCCCCACTCCCCGTTGTCTTGAGCAGCACCTTCTGTGAACTGTTGGAAGTCAGTCTTTCTTGTCTGTGTCCCAGAACTTGTGGGTGGTGCCCCTGCTGCAGGAGACAAGGAAGCGGGTTATGATGTGCCCATGCTGGCCCAGAGTTCACAGTGGCCCCCACACCCCCAGCAGCCCTGGATGTGCTGTGGCTCCCTGTTGGACCTGCACACGTCACCGGAGACCCAAGTGGTTTCCGCAGAGGGAAGCAGCATTCCGCTGCTGAATGTCTCCCGCGTGTCCAGTAGGTGAAGAACAAGGACGACAATGTCGGCTCCGACGCACCAGAGCATGTTCCTGATGCCCACGGTTTCCACCACCGCCTGCCCCCCACCCCGCGCACCTGCTGGGCCTCGGCCCTTGTCTGCCCACCCACAGCTGTGCCGAGAGCAGGTTCTTGTTGGCCGGAAGGGGCCAGAGGGGCAGCAGTGTCCATGCAGAACGTGGACAGGCTCTGAGCACAGTGCTGGCTGAGGCCGGCTCTGGCCGGGCTGGTGCAGTCGCAGCCGCTCCCAGGTCCTTGGGCAGGTGTTTGGTCCCCCCCTTTTTTTGGGGGGCGTTGGTTTTTGTCATTAAAATGATCATGAAGACATTCAGTGAGAGGAAAAATACGCACTGTGATCTTAAATTAGAAATAATTTGCTAAAATCAGACATCATGAAAGGTTAAGGAATCCATTGACACCCTCCCCCGCCCCGGCACAAGGGAGGAGGTAAGACCACAGGGCCAGTCCCAACACAGCAACAAGAACGCAGCCTTTGTGATGTTTCTGAAAATTACTTTCTGAGCTGTTTTTCGCTGGAATGGTCAAGAACCAAGTTCAAAGCTGGGACTTCAGGTAGCAAGCCTCCCCCCTGTGCGGACCACTGCAGCTCCGTGGTCAGGAAACCTCAAGGCCCACCACATGTGTCCGAGCGAGTCCTTGACGGCGTCTTCCACTTGACAGAACGTGAAGCTCCACTGGGGACCAGGGTGCTGGGAGAGGGGCAGGTCTGGAAGGTTGTTGAACCCAGGCTCCTGTAGAATTTGTAAAAACTAAATAAATCATGACAGTGATGATAACAATCTTTAAGATGGTGGTAATGATTGCCTAAGGCCCAGGGGCCCCAGGATCCAGATGGGGGCCTAGAACTCTCCCCGCCTGGCCCCGAAGGCATTTCCACCTGGTGATTCCCAAGCGGAGCCCCTTCCAAAGTCGGCTGTACTCACTGTCAGTCCTGGTTGCGTTTCCCTTTTTCTTGAGTGGTCTGTGTATTTCCCTGGTGAGCAGAGTTGCTGAGTCTGGAGGCGAGCCCCATTCAGTGGCCACGTGGGGGCGACCCCCTGCCCACCGCGCAGCAGTGAGAGCACCCGGGTCCTCACTCTGAGGCTGCCCGGAGCTGGGGCCACGTGCGGCCAGGGAGTGCTGAAGCCCATCCCGTGTCACAAAGTGCGGGGCTCGCCCCCGGGGGCCCCCCGAGCAGCCGGTGGCCGGCAGGAAGCGTGGGAGGGCCCTGCAGGGTGTCTGCTGGTGTCTGCTGCCCTGTGCATTTCTGTTCCCGCTCAGTGATGTGGTTGGTCTTCTCTCGTCTTCCCTTTGGCTTTCTTCTACTTTTAAACTGCTTTAGATATTACTGCTCGGTGTGTGTGAGCCTTCCTGGTTCCCCGGTTAGTGCCGCGGGGGAAGAAGCCGCGGTGTGCTGTGCTTAGAGCAGGTGGCCTTTCCGCACTGTTGGCCACCTGGCGTGGCCACGAGGCTCCTGCTCGGGGAGAGGTCGTGTCAGGACTGTCGCTGTGCGTTCTGACTGTAGATGGGCCGATCGGGTGAGCTCGTGCTGGAGGAGTGCCCACTGGTGCAGCTAGCTGGTGGTCTGGGGAGACGCGTGGCCTCCCAGCACCTGGCCCTTGGGGTTGAGGCCGCCAGCAGGTGGGGTGGGCGCCGGCACGCAGGCAGAGCTCGGGGGCCCTGCCCGTCCTTCCCTGGCTCTCAGCATAGCCCCGCAGAGGGACGGGTGTGAGTATGGAGAGAGCGGCTGGTCTCCTTCCTTTCTCAACATGCTAATCTGTGAGCCCATGTGACACAGGACCGCCCTGTTTGTTCTTGTTACTTTGGTTGTGAATCCTCCTGTGGAATTGGCAGAAGCTACACTTGTCCTGCCCCTGCGAGCACGGTTGGCATTGTCTGTGCTGTAGGTGTTGGCAGTGGCTGTCCCTGTGTGTGTACGTACATGTGTACCCCACAGCGGGTGTGCCTGTTGCTGTCCAGCGGTCGGCTCCAGGACAGCCTTGGGTTTCTTGGGGAGTCGGCTCGAGAACAGGGTCCTGGTGGCAGGCTCCTTTGCCGGGTGCGCAGAAGTAAATGCCGACCCCGGTGCATGCATAGGATTTTTGTGGCCGGCCGGCCGCGGTGCCTGCCTGCACTGGGGTGACCGCATGCTGCCAGCAGCACCTTCTCCGGGGAAGGGCGCCGGGGCCGCCGAGGGGCGACTGTCCCAAGTGCCACGGTCGTCCCTGGGGGCCCACCCGGCATGCTCACCTGACCTCCAGGGGCGTGTCCTTTTGCGACATCTAGGTGGCTGGAAACCCTTCCCTCCCTTGAAACATTAAAACCAATTTTCTGAGCATCAGAAAGGTCATGACAAAGGGCATTCTAAAGGGGACTCTGTCCTGACCGCAGGTCTGCCTTGGGAGGGGTCCACTGGGAAGGAGGAAGGGCCACACAATGCCATCCTGCAGGAAGGGGCTGGGTTCAGGGGCCTACAGGCAGTGGCTTTTGGTAGATTTTGTTTCCCTAGAAAATGGGACAATGTTTCCAGCTAAGTGAGGGGAGGCAGTTTGCACTGAAATAAATAAATATATATGTGTGTATACACACACACGTTTTAAAATACTAAATGCAAATGCATGGCAAGCATCTGTCCGTGCGCGCTGGTTTCTGGTTTCTTCCTGTTGCTGGAATCCCGCAACGCTAGGTGGGTGTACCTCTGACCCCGACTCCCATGTGCACCCCTGAGGGCCAGGCTGGAGGGTTAGGATGGTTCCTTGGTGATCTCCATCTCGTATGTCTGAATGTTGACCTTAAGGTAAAGATAACTGTTGTAAAATAAATGTTTTCACTGCAAACCAGGCATGTGTCTCATTCAATGACCCCCGCAGAGTCCTTTCGAAATGGGGGGGTCGTGCACAGAGGGGCAGGGGTCTCACTCCCGCCTGCCTGGCCCAAGTGTGGACAAACGCCCCTCCTAGGTTCTCTTTTCACCTCCATCGTCTAAATACCCCAAGTGGAGGGGTGCCTGCCTGGGTGGCTCAGTCGGTGAAGTGTCTGCCTTCGGCTCAGGTCATGATCCCGGAGTCCTGGGATCAAGCCCCATATCGGGCTCCCTGCTCGGCAGGAAGCCTGCTTCTCCCTCTCCCACTCCCCCTGCTTGTGTCTCTCTCTCTCAAATAAATGAAATCTTAAAAAAAAATACCCCAAGTGGAGTGAGGAAAGGGTCCCGTAAGCCCGGGGTGGCTTGGACTGTGGGTTCTGCAGCCCTCCCAGGACAGGTCCTTGCTTCCGCTCCCCGCTCCTATCCACCTATCGTTACCTCCTCCTACCACCTCAGCCCGGAACCATCCCTGCCGCCCACACGGGCATCACCTTCCATCCTCCTGCATGAAATAAGGCCGCTGGACTGCAGGGATCTGGAACAGCACTCCGGCCTGAGCCTGAGCCCTCGGCTACGCAGCAGGTCTGCCCTCAGCTCGTAGCACAAGGTAGACGAAGGGTGACGGCGGGGTCCCTCACGCCTAGGCCTGTGCTCCGTGCGGAGCCTTGTCCACCCTGTGGAGGAGGGCTTCCTGGGGTGGTCCCACTGCCTGCTCCACCCAGGGCATCAGTGTGGGGTACACTCGCGTCCTCGTGGCTGGACACGATTGTCGTGTCTGCCGGGATCACATCCATGTCCGCGATGAGCTGGGACTGCATCCCAGCATCTCCCTGGGAGGGCCAGATGGGAGGATGGTCATGACGCCCAGGGGATTCTGAGAGCTGAGCAGGGCCTGGCCGGGGACTCTGCAGCTCACAGCCGGGGGTTTCTGGCCCCACTAAAACCACTTCTGTGCCTCTCTTTTCTCTTCCCTGAGATAAATGTCTAGTCATGGACTCTTGCAGGAAATGCTGTCCCTGCCTCAGGGCATGTGTGTCCCTGGGGGTTCTGCACACACTGTGGTGGGTGGAGCCTGACCCTGGCCTTAGGTGGGGGAGGACACCTAGACCCAGGGGGCCCCATGGGTGTGACCATGTGGCCCAGGCCACAGGTGCCACTTTCCACACCGTTTCAGCAACTGTCCCTCTCATACCTGGGACCCCCTGGGGTCAGGGTGCTGGCTCTTCGGTTCCCTTGACTGAACTCAGGGCAAGACAGAAATAGTTTGAAAAAAAGCAGCATAGAAGTACTAAGAATGATGTAACAAGCACCTTGAAGGAAACCCTTCACCTAGGACATAGGGACTAGTGTGACTTGGATCTTCCAAGAAGGAGAGAATGGCCTACAGTGAAGACCTGCATGTCCCTCCCCTGCCCAGTGTCCCCTCCAGCCGGCCGGTGTCAGCATCCACAGATCCTAGTTCATTCCTGATTTTATTGATCTCTAAAGTCTTGCATAAAGAGTACTACACTGTACTGGGTCCGTATGAATCTTCATTCCGCGTAGGTTTTTCCAAGCAATCGCCCCCCATCTAGGTCTAGTTTATTCGGCTGCTGTACAGCGTCATCCTGGGAATTGAGGGCAGGTGCTTGCTGGCCCTGCTCATTGAGGACATGGGTTTTCAGTTCTTTGCCGCTGACTAGGGCTGGGCTGCCGCGGGGTGTCCCCAGGGCACAGGCGCCCCCAGACTGCCTTGGTGGCTGGCTCTCCACAGAGTGGGAAGGCCCCTCCTCTCCTCCTCAGGCTTCTCAGACCTTGCTCTCTACGGGAATCTCATAGGGAAATAGGAACTAACACCAAGCCTTAATTAATGATGGGCATTCAGGGTGGTGGGCGACGGGACCTCGCTCCTCCCCCAGACCCAGGGCCCCAACACCTGTACCCCTGATCTAGGGGACCGTGGGCGGGGGGCTGAATGGCACTACGGGGAGATTCCCGAAGTCCACACCCCCACGGCCAGTCTGGGAACTCCGGGCTCCTGGTGGAGGTCATGGTCGCCATGTGCGGACGTGGGTCCTAGGTGCGCGGCCCCCTCCCGCTCCCCGCCTACCGCGAGGAGCGCGACCAGGAAACGGCAAGCCACGCGGGGCAGGTGTAGGCGCGGGGGCGTGGCTTGCCAGGAGAGGTGGGGGGCTTGCCCGCCGCCGCGAGCCCCGTCACCATTTAAAACCACTTAGGACACAAGCTAGAGGGGGCGCACGGGGCGCGGCGGGGGCAGGGGTCTTGGGACCCAGGGCACCAAGGCCATGCGCGGACTTCCTTGGCTCGACACGGCCACGGCTGCCACTCCCCGAGAGACCCTCGCGCGGCCCCGGGGGCCCCGGCGCCGAGACCAGCGCGGGCAGGACGCGGGAGGCGGGCCGCCGGGTCTGGAGGCCTCCGCGGCCCCGAGCCGGAGGGGAAGGCCCGCCCCGGCGGGAAGGACCCGCCAAGTCGCGGACACCGGGCTCTCTCTTGCTTCAAAGGGACCCTCTGCTCCTACTCAGACCCTGCTCAGCACCCCGGTACCCCACCTCCTCTCCGCACAACTCCCGGGGTCTCCGAGGCCGCGGCCCTCTCCACCCTTGCCCGCTCGCCCCCGTGAGGGCCCCTCGCCGTCCAGGCTCCTGGTCCCGGGCCGGCCGGGTCGTGGTCGGGGCGCTCCCTCGGCGGCTCCGCCCGCGCCGGGACTCAGGGGCGCAGTGGGGGGCGCGGTGGAGATCCGGGAGGGGCAGGGCCGGCGCTAGCTCCACCCCGGCCACTCGACGCTGGGGCGGATCTTGGGCCCCCGCTGGAAGCAGGGTGGTGACCAGAGGAGCCTGAGGACCTGCGCCCGGAGCCAGGCCCACCGGCCCGCAAGCCGACCCCGGATGTGTCGCTCGTGAAGTCGGTGTAGCTCCCACCCCAGCCCTTCCTCTGGCCCCAGCCTGTGGCGGTCGAAGAGTGGGTCCCCGTGCACCTCCATGTGCGAATTACGCCATTCTTGCTCTTCTAACCCAAGCCCAGCCCAAATCCACCCGCTCACCCCTGCCCTGCCCCTTCCTACCTCTGAATCTCCTGCTAAGACCAAATCCCCAGCTCCATCTTGGTGAGCCCGAAAGTCCCCAGCCTCCTGTGTTGTCTCTGACTGCCTCCTGCCCTCTTCCCAGGATTCACCCTGGAGCATTTGGGGTCCAGGAATCTGGGCATCTTCCAGGATGCGTCTGGGCTCCAGGCGGTCCCTGCTGAGGCCCCAGGAGGGTTGGAGTCTTTCCCCAGGCCACACCAGCCCCCAGCCCCTACTGATGACAGCCTGCTTGACCTGCTCCACTCAGCATGACAACCATATGTGCCCAGCGCTGGGTCTGGGGCCCCATCTCCTGGCCAGGGCGCGCCTGAGCTTCCCTTCCCGCTTTATGGCGGCCGCTGCTGGGGAAAGGGGTAGCACCTCACGGGCTGACGAACCTGAGATTGACCCTGGAGACACCATTCTCAGGCTGGACAGTCCTGGAGGCACTGCCCAGGGACGGCGGGTGAAGCCCTCAGCAGGTGGGTGCATCGTGGGAGCTTCTGGACTAGGTATAGGGTGGTCTGCACCCCCTCCACCTCTCCCCCTATCAAGCTCTGAGGGTATGTCCAGGCTGTAGCTCCATCTTCCCAGCTCCCCTCAACTTCTCCCCCAGGCGCCTGCCCCGCCCCTCCCCCAGCCTCTGCTGGGCCCCAGAGGAGCCCAGATGCCCAGAAAGGCAGCCCAAGGGCCACCTGGCTCCCAGCCCCCAGTCAGTCTGCCAGAGAGTTTCCTAGGGATGGGCTTGTCCATCCCTGGAGAGCAAGGCCCAAGCCTCCCCAGACTGGAATCCCTTGATGTATCTAGTAAGCTGTGTTGAGTGTTACCCCAGGAGGGTCTTGGACCTTGGTTCTGGTCCTATCTCTGGGACTAGGAGGCTCCCAGGGGCTGGAGGCATTGCTCCCTTTCATTGGCATCCTGAAACCCCTCTCCCTGTGCTGTTTGGAAAGTGACCCACTTCTACCACCGCCACAGGGGCCTGGCAGGAAATGGGCTAAAGAAGTCCCCTAGCCTGTGGCCTAACCTCCCCAAGCTGCCTTGGATGAGCGGACTACAGCCTGAGGGGGCAGATCCTCTGGTTCAGGCCTCCTGCCTCCCGATTCTGCCCTAGGCCCCCAGTGTTGTCCTCCCCCAGGGGCTGGTGGCCGAGTTGGATGGGGGCAGCTGGGCCCTTTCCTTTCAGCTGCATCTGTGTGCCACAGCATGTGAGATGTGTGTGTGTGTGTTGGTACATGCATGTGCATGTGTGGGTTTGGTTTATCTCGGGGAGCTGGTCAGCGCCTAGCTGGACTCTGGGGAGGCCTCCAGGGAATGACCTAGCCCCTCCCTGGCCCCTGATTAACTGTCCCTTATCTGGGAAGACCTGGCTTGACAGAAAGGCATCTTCCTAGCCTCAGGGCCCCAGCACCCCTCCTAAGCAGGGCCCGGCCAGGTTCCCAGCACACAGCACGAGAATGGCAGAGTAAGTGGGGGTTCTGGAACATGGGAGAGGGGTCCACTCACCAGCTTGGGCAGGAGAAGCCCCTCCTGCTGACCTCTGGGCCCTGTGATGATTCTCTGCCCCTGGTGTCTGGCCACCCCTTGGACAAGCCTCTTGCCTTTATCTGCCTGCCCTTGGCCTGGCCCCCACCCAGTGACTTCCTGTCCCCGCCCCCACAACAAGCTTTTCCATGACATGGCCTTTGGGGGGGGGGGGACCAAGGAGACCAAGAGGGCAGGAAAGAGGCAAGACACAGGTCTGGTCAACAGAGGAGTAGGGAGACTGGGGGTGCCTGACAGCCCATCCCCAGCAGCCCAGAGGTCTGCCTCATGCACACCCTACCCAGGCAGGCCTGCCACAGACAGGCTGTCTGGAGGGAGCCAGAGAAGCCTGCCTTTGTCCTCGAGCCCAGAAGCAATGAAGACAGGGCTGGAGGTGGGTTTCTGGCCCTGAACAGCATGGCTGGCCCACGGACGCTGTGTGGCCATCTCCCCTAAAAGTGGGGCTCTTGCCAGTGGTAGGGACCAAGGCTTCACTCCCTCCTACAGCCGCCCACACACTGATTTCCGCTGGGTTCCCTGACGGCACAAACACGTGGTGGGGGCGGGGGTGGTGGATGGCTGCAGAGGCTCCCTCTTGAGATCCAGAGCCCTAGGTCCAGGCCAGGGGGCCACCAAGTGGCCCACCTAGCAGAGCCAGAAGCTGTGGGCCCCAGCTCTGTCCTCCTAAATCTGACACTGAGCCTGGACTACAGGGAAAGCCCAGTGCGGGACCAGGAACGCCTGTTCTGCCGCTCATAAGGCGAGGTTCTGACCAGGCTCCTCAACTCCCTTCCTCCCCATGGTGCCCTGCAGCCTGGGGGCTGGGGCTACTCCTCATGCCCAGGTCCCAGGCAGGACAGCACCCGAGGGCCCCCAGCTAACCAGGCACGGCTTCATTTTCCCAAACTTTATTTTATAAAATGTATAGAGTAAGTTACAGCCGTCATACCCTTTTTAATTAAAATAAGTTAGGACATGTCTGTAAGCAAGGCCATGAGGCAGGAAGAAGCTGGGTGGTGGCAAGAGCAGGAAGGCTCAGGGCGGGCAGCTAGCTTGTGGAGGCCACTTCCTCCTCATCGCTGCCGTCAGGTGCCGCGTCCGTCCCAAAGTAGCGGTCACCGAAGTTACCTGGGGAAAGAAGCAGGCCCTTGTGGTGGGGACTCAGGCCCACCAGGCCCTGGTGCACCACTGGTCAGCCCCGGGCAGCCTCACCAATGCCTGGGATGATGCGGAACAGGTCATTGACACGCTTGTCCACTGCCGTGGTGATGATCCTCACTCGTGGGAATGCGTAGGCCACCGAGTGAACACCCATCTCGGCCATGAGCAGCGACAGCAGGAAGATCTTGTCCTCCGGAACATCATGGTCCTGCGCCGTAAGGGGCCAGTGTATCCCCACCCGGGCCTGCCGCGCGCAGCCCCCCGCCGCGCGCAGCCCCACGTGGCCACTCACCAGGAGCACACGCACAGCCATCATGGCTGCCGCGCCCGTGGACACCGTGCAGTCCATCAGGATCACGTGGTCGTCACTGATGTCCTTGGGCAGCCGCAGGTAGTGGAGCTGAGAGAAGCCAGAGTCCGAGCCGGCCCAAACCTGGAGCTGCCCTTCGGGCTCCCGCCCCCGCCCCTCAGGCGACCCCGCTGCCCCCTTCCCCGCCCCGATGTCCCTCCCCCAGGCCCCCCAGCCTCCCTCAGGCCCTGCCCTCTAGGCCCGCCGCCGCACCTCGGGCTCCCCGGTGAGCTGGTTGGTCTGGATGAGGATGGTGCCGATGCGCACGTCTTTGCACACAGCCCGCAGCGCCGGCTCCATGGTCTCACCCGCACGCAGGATGGACACGCCAGTGATCTGGGGGCCCGGAGGTAGGGGGAGATGAGCCGGCCGGACCTCCCACCTCCCGGGCCGCCCCAGCTCCGCCCCCGGGCTGCGCCCCAGCTGGTACCTGCTTCCCCGCATAGCACTTGCCCGCGTAGTCCTGCCCCTGCGGGGTCTGCACGACGCAGTCCTGCGCACAGAGGGCGTGGGGGCGCTCGTGAGCACGGGGAGCCGCCCCCCGCCCGTCCCAGGTACCCGCCCCACACCCCGCTCCGCACCTGGAAGGGCAGGAAGGAGAGCGCGTGCTCAATGAGCAGCCGCATCAGCCTCTTGGAGTAGAAGATGAATTCATCACGGCTGGTCTCCTTGTCCCTGCGGACCGGTTGGGTTCAGCTGAGGCGTGGGCCGTCAGGGGCCGCCACCTCGCCTCACACAAGGGCCCTCACCTGATGATGGTGTGCATGCCCCGCACCTGCGGCGTGCTCTTGAGAACACTCAGCGTCCGGGGCAGGGGGTGGCACTGGTGCGCCGAGGCCAGCGCGGCCCTGGGAACACAAACCATTTGGGGACTCAAGAAGGGGTGTCTTCTCCCAGAGCCCCATCCTCCCACTCCGGACACTGTGTGGGGGCGCATGTGATGGGGATAATGAGCTGTGCAGGTGGGGGCCGCCGCCTCCCTGTGGCTGATCTGGAGGGAGGGTCCCAACCCCCGAATACTCCCATCAGGCGAAGGTTGAGCAGAGCAGCTGACCATCAGGTGGGAAAGGGAGGGGCTGTGGTGTGAGCCTCCCCTCCCAGCCCAGATCCCCTCCTGCGCTTGCACGGAGAAAGCAAAAGGGGACCAGGCAGCGGGAGGGCAAAGGAATCTCAGCTCCCAGGATGGGCACCTGGTCCTCAATCCCAGAACATGTCTCTCTGGGGAACAGCTGAACTTCAGGACCAAGTCTCGCCCTGACCCTTCCCTCCAGGTGATGTACGGCAGCCCCCTTGGGAGATGCGGGCAAATCTGGCTCAGGGCCGGCCCTGTTGCACCATGCCCGGGGTGGGGAAAGGAGCAGCGGGGCGGGGCGGGGCGGGGCGGGGCGGAGCAGAGGGGGCAGGAAGGGGCGGGGCAGAGGGCGGGGAGGGGCAAGGGCGTGCGGGAGCAGCCCCCCCGCCCCCCCCCGCCCCCCGCACACAGCGCACAGCGCAGCACCACAACCAGCGCGCACTCTGTCCTCACATATCCCAGCGCAGCTTCCTCTGCTCGCCAGGTGAAGAGTGTGTTCAGGGAGGGAACAGGGCAGGAAACCCAAGGGTTTACAAAGAGGAGGAAAAGAACAAAGAGAAAAAGACCATTTAGCAAGGGAGCGAGTCCCCGCGGCCACCAGCTGGCCTGATAGAGAGAAAAGGCAGGTGGCAGGGCGACAGGGAGACCCGGGGAGGCTTTGCACACACCCTGCTGCCGGGCCCCGCTTCCCGCCCCCGGTCACCACTTCCTTGGTTGGCCAGAGAAGGGGAAATAGCCGGCTGCATTTAGGCGTTTGGGTTTTTTTTTTTTTTTTTCCAAGTTTGAAACTTGATTCTCACGACAAAGGCTTCCAGGGGGCCCCGGCAGGGCAAGACCTGCAGGTGCCTTGGTCTGGATGAGAGCCAAGCGGTGACTTGTGGGAGGGCAGCACGCTGCAGGGGCCATTCCCAAGGCAGCAGCTTCGGGGCTCCCGAGTGTGAACTGGGGGCTCTCCTGGTGCTCCCCGATTCCACAGAAAGCCTGGGCTAAAGGCAGGTCATTCCTGCTGGGCACTGTGGGGGATGGTGCTTCATCTGCTCTCCCCTGGTGCGTTCAGAGCCCCTCCTGGCTCTCTCTCTGCCCTGGGTCCAGCGCCAGAGGGGGCAGGGGCCTCACCACCATCTGGTGGCATCGAGACTGGACCCCCAGATCAGGCAGAGGACCCTCTGGCTGCTGAGAGATATGCCTGTGACCACTGACCTGGGGGGCCCAGCAGTGCTGGCTCAGGACAGCTGTGCCCTCTGGCGTCAGACCCCATGCAACCAGCCCCATGTCGGGGGGAGGCCTCCAGAGAGGTCTGACCAGCATAGAGTCAGGGCACTGTGTGATCCTGGGCAAGTTCCTTAACCTCTCTGTGCCTGAGTTTCCTCATCGGCCCAGCAAAGACAGACAAAAGCAGTGTGGGGGCCACCACACCATCCTTTCTGCGCCCGGAGCAGGGCTGCCACCAGGGATGGGCATGACAGGAGAGGACCCCCCACCTGCCCAGGTGACAACCCGAATTCCGCACTGCCTGTGGATGTCAGAAGTGCCTCCGTCTGCAGACAGGTGTGGGAAGTCTTACCTGACACTGAGCTCACGCTGCGGCGGCAACACAGGGAGACACAAGGGAATGGGGTGGCACGTCAGTGGTGGTGCTCACCTCGCAGTCGCCGGACAGCACGGCCCGTTGCCACCGTGCACCTCGGCCCGCCAGGCCACCCCCACCCGGGAACAGACTTGCCACAGTCCCAAGGGACAGTCCCGGGTGGCCGCCAACCACGGGAGGGAGCCAGCTCTTATGGCCCATGACCTGGGCACTCTCTGCCCTGGGACAAAGAGCCAGGGCTTCTGAGGCTGCATGCCTCAGACCTCGGGCCTCCAGCACCCCATCCTGAAGCCTGTCCAGAGTGGCAGTGCCCTTAGCCGGCCCAGGGCATGTAACCAGGTTGGGACATCCCTCCTGGAGTGCTCAGGATGTGGGACCCTGCACTAAAAGCCAACGGTCCCCTGAAGGTCTGGGAGGGACACTCAAGGCCCAGCTCAGGCTGGCAGTACCAGAAGGCACCTCTGCCCCCCAGGCTTTCTCAGGGAACCAGCTGCCTCTGGCCGGCACAGGGACACCGGAGGGCCAGAACACGGCAGGGACGTGAACACACGGGGGCCGCAGAGCAGGCCTCTGACGGTGGAGCAGGGGAGCAGGGCCTGGGGCTGGGGGGCTGCAGGGACCAGGCCCCGGCCTGGCTGGCTCACCTCCTCCAGCTGACTGTGCATGTGCTGCACGATCAAGTCGATGGCCACCGTGTTTCCGCTCCCTGGGACAGGTGAGGAGGGTCACATGGGGTCCCAAGGCCCCTTCTGCCCACGTTCCCAATGGCAGGTGGGTCCGCAGGCTCACCCCAGGGCACCACGATGTCTGCCACGCGCATAGTGGGCTGGATGTACTGGTCGAAGGCAGGTTTGACGAACTTGTTGTACTGCTTGATGACACCCTCGATGTCTCGGCCTCGCTCGCTAATGTCCCGGCGCAGCCGCCGCACGAGGCGGATGTCGGAGTCCGTGTCCACAAAGATCTTCATGTCTAGGAGCTGGATGGGGAGAGCGAGGCGCTGAGCGGGGCCGGTGTGGGCGACCTGGGGACCTGGGGACCGGCTCCTGCAAAGACCTCTGGCCCGGGAGCAAACCAGGCCCTTGGGGCACCTTGCAGTCTGGCTGGCAGAGTGCACGGGTGTGGGGAAACGTAGGGGGGTGTGTACATGGTGGGTGGGGGGCACTATCCACCAGAGGCTTAGTCAGAGGGCACCAGACGGACCCTGGCTGCAGAGGCAGGACAGAGCTGGCACCGTCACTGTGGGTTGTCAGCTGTCTGTGTGCCCTCACACATATCAGGGGAACGGGGGGCGTGTCCCCTCCCCACCATACCCCCCACCACAGTGCTTGGGTTTGGTGAGTTCAGGTCTGGCCTAAAGGGGCTGTTGGGGGGCTGGGTACTGCTGCATGGTGGGCAACAGGGTTCCCTGAGCCTGAGCCCAAACTCACTGGCCCCAGAACTACAAGGAACAAGGACCAGAGCACAGGCCTCCCTCAAGGGCCTCAGCAGCAGCAGGAGAAGGACCCACCTACAGCAGGGCCTGGTGGGAAGGACACAGCTGTGCGTGCCTCCCCGGGGTCGGACAGCACGGACACAGGCCGTCTCCATCCCAGGCAAGAGCACACACGTGCACGCACATGTGAACCACTGCCCCAAGGTCACTCTGACCTCACTGACCGCATGGGCCCCAGAGAGCAGCAGAGAAAACACACACAAGAAGGTGAGCAAGCATTAAGAAGAGAAGATCAAGGCACTGGCCCAGGGCTTGCACCCTCCTCAGGCTGCCTCCCCCACCAAGGGCATTTCCATTCTCTCTGCGGGAGTGGGGGGTCTGTTCCACCCAATGTCCTTGACCCACTTTCCGGAGAGCAGCCATTCCCCACCCAACACCCAGTGACTGCACCACCGGGATGGGACAGGTGACCACATACCACGAGGACAGAGGGAGTGGCTTGGCCTGCTTGGAGGAGGCAAGTTTAAGGTTAGAACCACAGGAGAAGCAGGAAGATGAGCAGGGATGGGCATTCCCAGCAGGACCGTCAGCCTTGAGCCCTGCCCTCACCTCCAGCAACGTCTTGTCAGCAAAGGCCATGATGCCTTCGAAGATGATGACGTTTGCACCATAGAGTGTTTTCTGCAGAGAAATCGTGCAGCTGGTCGCCTGCCACGTTCCCAGGCAGGCACGCACAGCCCGAGCCCACAAGGCCTACCCAGTCCTTCTTCCGGCTGTGGGTGGTGAAGTCGTAGACAGGCACCTTTACGCTCTTGCCCTGTTTCAGCTTCTTGAGGGTGGACACGATGAGGTCAAAGTCGAAGGCATCTGGGTGGTCGAAGTTGAAGTTGTTGTGGGCGGCCTGCTCCTGTTGCTGCGTGGTCAGCACCTGTGGGGGAGGCACTAGGGGCTCTGTGGGCCCCTCCATACCACGCCAGGGCCAGGGGCGGGGGCAGGGCAGGGGCATCCAGGCCCACCGCAGATGTGGCCTGCACGGGCAGGCGAGCTCCTCACCTTGTAGAAGGAGTCCATGGACAGCAAGACCACCCAGGGCACGTCCAGGGCCTCGATGATCATCCTGGCCACAGTTGTCTTCCCAGAGGCGCTGCCACCTCCCAGACCTGTGGAAGGGGGCAGCGCGACCCTGGGCAAGAGCAGCAGGGCCAGCCCCCCAGCCCGGCTCCGGGGGGCCCCCGCCCAACGCTCTGCCTGCAGCTGCCCTCCCCTGCCCCCCAGGCTTGACAGCCCACGGGGCCCGAGGCAGCTCACACCAGTGGCAGGGCCGCTCAGGGGTTCGACAGGCCCTGCCTTACTTACCGATGGCAAAGGCCTCCTTGGACTGTGTGCCGTGCTCATTGTACCAGGGCGGCCGCCCGGCCGTGTAGATGGTGCGCTTGCTGGTGTGAAGCAGGGGCGGCTCAGACTTGCACTGGCTGGTGGTGCGCTTCCGGGGTGAGCGCCCGGTGCCCACAGGCGGGAGGAGCCTGTCCAAGGATTCCGCATGGCTGCTGCAGAGAAGGACACGCCTGCCTCTGCCCAGGGCCACCAGCCACCCTGCCATCCTGCATCAGGCCTGGCGTGGCCGGCCACGGGGTCCACGCCCCACGCAGGCACACAGGCACCGCCAAGCTGGGTGGACTCAACTGGGGGCATATGGAAGCCCCCTGCAGCCCATCCACAGGGTTCCTGGCCTTGGACTGTCACTGCCCACACACGTTCGGGGGGACAGCAAACAGCATTAGGGGAAATGAGGAGTGCCATCCTGGGCCTGGCCCCTGTCCCCTAGGATGAGAGGGGGGCACAGCGGGGCAGTCAGGACCCCATCAAGGACTATGTTCCCTCCCACGACACTCTCTGTAAGATCCAATCCCTGCCACCCTGAGGGGCACACGGGGAGGGGGGGTCCTGGACAGAGAGGCTGCTGACAGGAGAGCTGAGCAGGCTGGCAGAGGGGACGGGTGCAGGAGGGAGTCCCTGGGCTTGGAGGCCCGTAGGGCAGCCCTTGCTTCTTGCCCTCCAGCACACTGCAGACCGAGAAGGCAGGAGACCCCAGGAGCCACAGGCCGGAAAACCCAGTCTGGGGGAGGCACGGACAGCATCTGTGTCCTGCTCCAGCCTGTGTTGTGCCCCCGTGCCCGGTGGCATGCTGGCGTCCCCGTGGGCTCATAAGGGGCACAGTGTGACTGCTGGCCCAACGCCTCGAATCCCAACAGTGACAGCTCTGGGGAGACTCCACTTGGCTGGGCGGCTAGCTGGGCGGTAGTGTGTGCCTGACGCCTGCTCAGTGTGTGCTGACGGCTGGGTCACAAAAGCCTGGTGTAAAGACGGCCGCAGGGCCAGGACAAGCTCGGGGAAGAGAGCGGCCGGGCTGGCCAAACTATCACCTCGCGGACCTGCTCCAGAGGCTTCCAGGCCGGTGGTGGCCACCGCAGCTGCTGACTGTCTGGGCAGAGCCCCCAGCGGGTGGGAGGAACGTGCAGGAAGTCATGCAGACGTACTGGGCAAGTCCAGCCTTGCAGGACGCTGCCTACACCCCTGGCTTGTGCACCCCTGGTCCGGGACCCCAGGGCTGCACACTGCTCACCGTACTAGCATGAAAGCCTCAGACGGACACAGGTAGGGAAGGTGTCCTGAAGTCCGCTTAGCTGAGAAGGCCAACTGCAGTAAGACGTGAACCCGTGTCTACAAACCCAGCAAATGCAGAGAGCTCACCCGCACACACCTTCATGTGAGTACATGTGCGCAAAACGGGATGCACAGAGAAAGACACAGAGTTGCCAAGACTGCCCTGGGGACCAGGATTTGGGGCTCCTGCCACGCTAAACGTCTTAAGCACAGACCAAGCCCACTACCACTGCCACGCCCAGCAGTGCGAGGCCACGGGGTGCCAGGAATCTGGCCAGTGAGGGCGGTATCAGCCTGCCGAGGACCACGAGAGTGCCTTCCTGCGTCTGGAACAGCCTGGGCATCTCCACCTTGGGAACACTGGTGTTCCCAGCTGTGCAGTCCTCCCGTAGCACCTGGTGTTGTCAAGAGCCAGGAGGACGGTGTGCCTGTATGTTTGGGGGTCGGAGGCGGTGGAAGAAACTCGCTAAAGCCAAAGGCGGGACAGGTCACACCAGTAGCACTTGAGAGCCCCGAGGACAACCACAGCACAAGTCCTAGCAGTGAGAAACCAGCCATCGCAGGGCAGGAGCCACGTGGCACCATCCCGGGGGACAGACAACATACGGCTGCCGTGGCTCCTCGTTGTCGGGACAGCACAAGGAGCCAGCAGTGGAGGTAATTAGCCAGTCTATGTGCTCAGTGTCACCTCTGCAGCTCTGGAGACAGGCACTGCCACCCAACAGTCAGTGTGTGGAGGACTCTGCCCAGCCTGGAGCTATCCCAGGCGTACCGCCCACATTCCCGCTCCGTCAAGCCAGAGATGGACACGGCAGGGTGGGGGATCCTGGGGGGGGCAGGAGGGAACAAGCAGAGGTGTCTCCAGGCCCTGGACAAACTCCCCTAACAGCACAGAGCAGTAGCCTCCGGTGCTCACCGGCGCTGCCCTCCCAGAAGCAGCCCGCGTACCCCGCAAAGGACAGATGGCCCTGGAGGTGATGGGGGCCAGAAAGCAAAGTCCAGCCCGGCCCCTCCCTCTGTGCCTTCTGGGAGGAAGCTCTACTGTGGAAAACCTGACTTGCAAAGGAGGAGGAGGGCCTCACCATCTCCCGAACAACACGCTCTTGTGTGCTGGTGCTGAGCAAGTTCCCTCACAGCCGGGCCTGCCTCAGGGCCGTGTAGGCCTGCTCCCATCCCCCGCTTCTCACCCCGGTGCACCTCTCCAACAGGAAACTCTGAATCCTTATTTGTGAGGGTTCCTTGTTCCATTGAGGTAGTGATGGCCACGACCACGGACGACTTCTGAGGCTCATGCTGCCGACAGCCTGGGGCAGACACCGTCCCAGGGAAGAGTGCCCATGCGCCAGAAGAGCAGAAAGTAGGCCAGAGAGAGCTTTGCCAGAAACCCGCCCCATCTAGGGCGTGTGATGGGTCTAAATGGTATCAGGCTGGGTGTGCAGCCAAGCCCAGCTCCACGGTCTCCCAAGCCCCATCTCTCTCTGGGAACCAGGGAGGAAGCCTTGCTGTGACCTCAGAGCAAGCCTCACCCCATTTTCTCAGCGACACGACCTTGGAAATGGGAATGTCGCACCAAAGATCTCTTTACCCAGTCCACAGAAGGACGGGTGCGTCTGGCCACAGTGACAAAAGGTACTTTCAAACCAAAGGATTATGAGCCACGACGGACAAAGACTCACCTGTAACAGACAGCCCCAAGCAAGAAGAGCCCCTGCTGGTGGCCAGCCCAGCCTGGCCGCTCAAGAGCACCTACCCAGCCTGTTTGTCTCCTGACGTCGATCAGACACATGATGCCCGGGGCCGCAAGCGGCCAAGACACAGCAAAGGCACGTTGCCTCAGCACAGCCACGGGAGACAACAGGCCTGCCACTCACCTGCCTTCTGCTCCAAGGGCCCAGCACCCCGAGATCCTGATGCCAGGGTAAGCTGGGGGGCTGCTCATGGCTGGGACACAGGGGACAGCAGACAGCAGGGTGATCCCAGGTGTGTACAGGGACATCTCCACTGTGCCTCTCAGACCCACAGCAGCCCCCCAGGACAGCTCAGGGGCCACCTGAACTGCCCCTCCATGGGTGGGCAGGCAGCACAGCAGGTGAGGAGCTGGGGGAGGGGTCGGAAGAGCCCCGTGTGGAAAGCACAGGACCCGCGGCCGCCTCAGAGGCTGAGGCCACAGGCATTAGGAGGATCACTCGGCTGGGGGCTGTGTGCCCTCCCGATATTAATAGCACTGACCCTGCTGAAAAGAACACCGTCGTGGGGCCTGGCAGAGCTCAGGCCGGCCCTGGGTGTGAACTGTTGCTCCTGTGCACCAGCTGGCACACTGCTGGCCCAGGCTTGCTGAGGACCACAGTGCACCCCACACCCCCCAGAACACCATGGAAAAAACTCCAGACCCCGGGCCTGCTTGGGACTGTAGAGCCAACGCCCTCCTACCCACCCACAGCAGAACGGGGAAATCTGGGGAAATCGGGAGCTTTGCTGAATGTCAGTGCTGAGCCCTGTGTCACACCCTTGGCCCCAAGGTGCCTGCTAGAGGCATAAACAAACCTGAAACCCTAGCCGCCTGCCCCGCCCCTCCAGGGCTAGGCTCCAGCACATCCCCCAAGGCCACCCAGAGCTCTGCGTTCAGCCAGGGGACACAGCCAATCTCTAGCCTGGCAGCAGGAGGAAGAATGGGTTCAGCTTGCTGAGGATGGGTCAGCCAAAGGATCTTTACTGCAGTGTGTAAAGGGGTCTGCATCCCTAAGTCCCTGGCTTCCTTTCCAGCTTTCCTCCTGACTTGGCTTCTAACAACATGGAGATTCAGGAAAGAGAAAATTCCATGTAGGGTTTACATACCTGAAGAGGGGCCGCTCCTGGAGGCTGCCTCAGGAGCAGCTTCTCCTGGCCGCCCAGGTAACAAGGATGTATCTGCCTTCCTGTCCGGAGGCACCTGGAGGCAGGACTGAACTGTCCATCTTTGCCCACAAGAGCTTCTCCCTCCTGACCCCTGGCCTGGACACATGGGCCAGGGCTAGCCCCCACTTCGGAGGCGGGAGCTGTCCTGGGCAGGGCTGCAGAGTTGGGGCGTGCGGCACCAGGGCCTCCACCAGTGCCGGATACCTTGTCCAGGTTTAGGGAAATTTGCTGGATGAGTAAAAATGAGGCCAGATGGAAGAGGGAGGAGCTGATCCACTGGGGCCTGGCCCCAGGGATCCCAGACTGGCTCAGGGACAGAGAGGTATCAGGGCTTTCTCAGGACAGATCAAGTACTGGGGGTGCTGGGCGGCTACAGCCCTGAAGGGGCTGAAACAGGCTTCGGAGACTTGCATGGCCCCTACCCTACCCTGGAAACCTCCCTGCAGAAGCCCCTTGTTCCTGCTGCTCTGGACGGGTCCAGTAGGCCTCCCTCCATTCCCATAGCTTCAAACCCATCTCCACCTGGACCGCACCAGGAGACTGCTTGAGGGGTTCCCCGTTATCACCACCATGTTCATTTCTCTACCAGCATGTCCAGTGCTAAGGTGTCCGAGGTCCCTGACCCTCTAAAGGAGCAACCAGCCAAAGCACACGGATGCAGCCGCAATGATGTGGATGGAGAAGCTGGACTGGTGGTCAGGGGCCCGGGCACATACACCTGGACGCCAACCAGACCCAGCTCTGGGGCCCTCGGAGGGCGTGCAAGGAAACAGCGCTCAGGATACCAGCATCGGGGAATGTAACTGTCAAGTCCAGAGGCAGTTCCGAGGCAGACCCCATGGGCCTCTGGAGAAGCACGCCAGAATCTACACATGCCACTGCCGGGTCCTGGCTCCCTTCCTCCGACCTCTGCCTCCCTGGGCACCGTGAGGGGCACCTGTGCCCAACCTAACTCTGCACATGGGGTGGGGGCCAGACTGCAGCTGCCACCGGTCCATGTCTTCAGGGAGTGCTTCTCTCAAGACCTCATCTGGCCTTGCCCTCTCCGATCTCGGGCTAACTCAAAGACTCTTTGGAACCGCCAGGTGTCACAGACTCAGGTCTACGAGACTCAGTCACCCTGTGCCAGGCTCTAGTCACTTTTCGCTGGGAAGGTGTGAGCCTCCTCAGGGCAGCTCCTGGACCCCTCACTTCGTTCCTCTCCCTGCCAATTCAGTGGCTCCCTGGCACCCAGACCATCCTGGAGGAGTCCAGGCACACAGCATTTCTGCCGTGGAAAGATCATCCAATCCCCGAGATGAGATGCCCGGGACGGAGAGAAGGCTTCCTTGGATCCACCCCCACCCCCGCCCCGTGGCTGTCGCTGAGCCTTCCTTAAGGGACAGTTCAGACCCAGAAGCGAGGAGCCAGCCCTCAAGGGCGGGGGCGGGGGGCTCCAGAGCAGGGCCCAGCCGCTGCCCCCGGGGGGCCGGGCCCCACAAGCAGGGAGTAGGAGCCCGTTTCCTCTTGGCCTCTTCCGTCTCCCCGGTCAGGGTGACAAAATGGCTCTTTCCCCGCTCTACCCCTCCAAGTCTTGCAAAGCCTCCCCAGAGCCTCGGGGTGCGGCACAACGGTGGGCAGTCGGAAGGCACTCAGGTTCACGAACCCTGGCCTCTCGGGTGAGGCAGGAGCGGGGACAGGGCCCGCGCGGCCCTCAGAGCGCAAGGGAGGCGCACGCTCCAGCCCCTCGGGACGGACACCGACGTCAACTTCGGAAGCATCCGCTTTATCCGGCAGGCCTGCCACGGGCCCGTCTCCGCTGGCCACCCCGGAGCAGCGGTGCACGCAGACCCACCTCCCGGCCCCGCGCCGCCAGCCCCGCCAGGCCCCGGGGACCGCCCACGCGGGCGCCGGCAGCCCTCGCGCGTCCAGATCCAGCTCGTCGCGCTCGCCCCTGCCCGCAGGCCAGCGCCCCACGGCACGGCGGGCGCGGGCTCCGGCTCACGGGGCCTCCCCCTCCCGCGGCAGACGCGAGGGGGCGCGCGCGGCCCCCAGCCCGTGCTCGGCGCGCCGCGCCTACCGGTCCTCGCACGCGGTCTCGCTCCTCTCCGCCGGCCGGGGGGGCCCGTCTCCGGCCGCAGCGGGCGGCGGAGGCAAGCGGGGCGCGTCAGCAGAGGCTGGGGGCGCCGCCATGGAGCTCGAAGGCCTCGCCGCGGGCGGCCGGCCGCAGGGCAGGCCTCCGGAGCCGGCCGCACGGGCCTCCGGGAGTCGTAGTTCGGGGCTTCGCGCCGCGCAGCCATTGGCGCGCCCCGCGAACTACAAGTCCCACGAGGCCGTACGGCTATGCATGCCGGGACTTGTAGTCCGGCCTCACCCGCCGCGAGCGGTGGGTCCTCCGCGGGGAAGAATTCCCACCCCGAGCTTTACCACAAACTCAGCCGCACAAAGCCCCTGGAAAAAAATCAATAAACATTTATTTGATACAGTCATATTTAATACATACAGTTGATGGCCCACCCCCACGCCACTGTGGGCCGGGGAGGCGGGGACGAGGACCGGGGACAGATGGTCACAAGGTGGGCAGGGCCCGAGCTCACCGTCAAAACATCTTGCAAATAAACACTTTGTAGATAGAATATATATGTATATATATGGTTACAAGTGATAGCTGGAACCTCTCTTTCAAAATGCACTTATGTACGGAGAACTGGCATTAAAAAACCCAAACCAAGAAACCCAAAGCACAGGATGTGTGGTTGCCGGGCCAGAGGTGCTGGCCAGGCCCCCGAACCCCAGGCCTCCAGGGCAAGCCACCTGGGGCCCACCGAACTGGACACACCGGGACAGCCCTGCCCTCCGCAGATCAGGGTGCACCCGTTCTCTCCCTTCTGAACCGGAGGGACAGGATGGAGGCTACGGCTGGGAGGGCCACTGGTCACACCAGGATGCACCCTCATCTGCCTTTGCACAAGCAAATAAAGTGCATCCTATTTTTGTGTGAAGTGTCAGCCCCTTGAGTCGGCCCTTTCCTGTTCTCAGGGCAGGATTGGGGAGGGGGTGGGCGGGGCCAGAGGTAGATCTTCAGAAAGGGACCTGGCATTGTGCCCTGGGCTTGGGTCTTGGGCAGGGTCCGTGCCCATCATGCCCCGGGGGGTCTGCCACGCCAGTCCCTCTCATTGAAGGTGTCAATCAAGGCCAGGTGGTTACCTGGCTGAACGCCCACCAGAGTGGGAGATGGGCAGATCCTGCTGAGCCCCCCAGGGCTCTGCCCCCTTTGGAGGAGGGCTCTGCCGACCAGCTCACCACTGCCACTCACCAGAGCATGGGAAGCAGGAAAGGAAGAAGGGAGAGAGGGGTCCGACCCAACAGCCACGTTTGGCAGCAGCTCCCCACACCCACTTTAAAGACAAAGAAGGGGGTTAAAGTGCTAAACATCAAGTTACCCAGGACCCCACCTCTTCCCACACATCTCGGCGGGGTTCCCAAACCAGGGACCATCTGTGGACTTCAGGGGGCGACCTGGAAACTCATCCCCCAGCAAAAAACCAGCCCCCCACTCCCCAAGGGCCAAGTACCTGAGAGGCTGGGGCGGACGGCCGTCCCCAGCAGAGGTGTTGAGGTCCAACCTCCTCCAGCCACTGGTGACAAGGACAAAATGCACCTAGGGCTCCTGCCAGCCCTGCCCAAGGCTGCTCCTAAAGTGGCTGCCTGACCCCAGCTCTGCCCCCACCAGCTGTACACCATAGTGACACCCAGAACACGGAAAAGAAAACCCTTCTGCCCATGCAGTCCAAAGCCCTGCCCACACTGCCCTCCCGTGACCTTTGACACTGGATCACACCCATCTGCCCACGCCTCTACCCTTTGATCAAATCAAGGTGTGTGTGACTGGGGGTAGCCCATGTCTCTACACCCCCTCCCTACCACATCAGGCCAGGATTGCCCAAGTCAGTGCCTTCTGGCCAAAGGAAGAAGCTGGAGACAGGCAGCACGACGTGCCCCAGAGGCTCCCCTGGAACCTGTCTCCTTACTGCAGAGCTAGGAGAGCTGAGCCCGACTGGGAGCCTCTCCTCTCCTGGGACTAGATGAGGACGGGAGCTGGGGGTGGGGGGGCAGAGAGGTGCCCAGTCAGCACTGCCTCCCTGAGCAGGGGAGAGACACCCTCTCAGTCCCCAGATCCACCGTCGGCACCAGGAAACCCTTAGCACCAAAATGTCAGATTGTTGTGTTTTTGTATAAAAAACAGAATAAAAAAAAGGTTGTTACTTGTCACAGCAACAAGACTGGCATCCACTACACCCAGGAGACACACGCACACAGGCAAATATCAAAATTCACATCGTCCAGGATCGGCAAGACCGAGCCCTCAGCCCACCCCCGCCCCCCAGTGGGAAACAGCCTCTGTCCAAACCCAGGGGCTCTGAGGATCCCCCTCCTCCCTACACTGCCAAAGTTGGAAGGTGGGGCCCAGGGAGGAGACCAGAGGCAGTGTGGCCGCCTCCCCTGGGTGCCCTGAGCTCCAGCCTGAACCCTAGCCAACCTGCAGACCTAGCCATCCCCTTCGGGGTCCAACACAGAGCTGCAGAGCTGCCACCAACACAATGTGACCTTGGCCAAGCTCCCTCCCTGGCCTTTAGCTCTCATATCAAAAGACCACACAACCAGAAACAAAAGGGCAGGTAAAAAAGGGGGGATGGGGACTCCCATGGGAGCCTAGCTACAAGCCAACCCAGACCAGCAGACAGAAGGCTGATTCCCACAGGGATTACTCCTCAGGGCTGGGCCCCAGTTCCCCACCCCACATGCCTGTGGGCCCCAGGCTGACCCCAGAGCCTAGATTGGCCCATCTCTAACCCATTGGACTTGCCCCAACCTAGAGCAGTGGCATTAGCGAAGCTGGAGATTGGAGGCAAAGCTGTGCTCCACCGTGGCCCCCTCACCCCCTGCTCCTGCAGCCCGCAGGTCAGACCAGAACCCTCCCCTCGCCCCAGGCAGGGAGCACCCATGGAGATGGGATGGCAGAGAGTCCACCCACCATGACGGACAGGGGCCAGTGGGGAAGGGGCCCAAGCACAGCAAGGGTTGCACAGGCAGGGGAGGGCAGGCCTGGAGAGGTAGAGAACAGAAGCAGAGGACCCAGAGGCGGAAGGACAAGGGAGGCCATGGTGGGGCAGGCTGTCAGGTCAGCACGGTAGCAGTCAGACTCAGGGTCTGTCCTGGGAGGTAGCTGGGGGTGCTGGGGTCCAGTGTCGGGTGGAGAGGTGAGGCTGCTCAGGTGCCCTCATCAGCCCAGAACCATGGGTCACCAAGGACCCCCAAGCCTTGGGCCTGAGAAAGTAGACGGGGCATGGAGCTCACACGGTGAAGGCCCTCTGCCTGCCCTGCACCGCCCCGTGGCCCTGAGGCCTAAGCTGCAGACCCTCCTCCTGCCCACCCGGGGCCCCCGACTCTGCCAGGCCTGTGAATGTCCCTGCACACTACTGCGCGTCTGTTACTGCCACAGGCCCTCCCCCAAGGGACCCCCAGCCCTGTGTGCCCTCCACAGCCAGCACGGGGGGGGCCACCTTCAGGTAGGAGAGAGGGGCTGGCTGCCTCCACTGGACAGATGAACAGGCAGGGGTGGGGGATGGAGAACTGGAGAGCAGAAGGTGCTGGAACCAGCTACCCCCGCCCTCAACAGAGTGGACCTGGTGTCCAGTGTGGGGGCCAGGCCCCACCCACCTGCCAGCCACCACGCTCACTTCTCAGGGGCCTTGCTGGCTCCCATCTTCCGGCCAGTGGAGCCCCGGGCCCCCTTGTCTCTGCCTCCTGGCGGCCAGTCGTCCCGACGGGGGGGCATCTTAGGCGCGGGCTCCTCAGGGGTCCGCTCCTTGGGCTTTCGGCCTCGCTTCTTTCCGCCCACCAGACTCTTCTTCTCCTCCTTCTTGGGCGCCAGTGAGTCCTGGCTCCTGTGTTTGGGAAGTGGGTCTGCCGAAGTACGAAACCAGTTCTGGAAAGAAAATACACAATGCAGACCCTGGGGCAGGAGGTGCTGGGCACTGGGGCTAGGCAGGCCACTGTGCTAAGGTGGCTGAGCGGCACCCAAGCTTCTCTGCTCCTCCAGGGAAGCCAGAAGCCCCGCTGAAGGGAAACCAGCAGCTCTCTCAACTTTGGCTGCTCACTCCAAGGCCATACAAGCGTCACCCTCCCACCCCCCACACCCCACACTCCCCCCCAGGCCCAGCAGGGCGCTCGGCCCATCCCACCTCTGCGTGGGTCTTGAGGATGTGGTATTTGACGCCACTCTCAGAGCTGAACTCCTTCGGACACAGCAGACAACAATACTTCCCCACCAGGTGGTCTCCCTGCAAGGCATAGGGCGGGCTGGCCCCCAGAGGTTGGACCCCACCCCCACCCCTTGGAAGACCTGAAGCACCAGCTCCAACCAGGGCACCTGCCTCTCTGCCTGCATGTATGCCCAACCTCTGGTTGGGGCAGCCACAGCTCATCTGGCTGGGTGCTCAACAGGTGGGCTTCCGGGACCCATGAGACTTCTCTGTGGCAGGACCTCGGAGTTGCCCCCACTACGGGAAGGTAAGGGACACAGGGAGGATGGGAAGAGGCAGGTACCCCGGGGAAGGGTTGCAGCCTTTTCTTTTTTTATTTTTTTTATTTGAGAGAGAGAGAATGAGAGAGAGAGAGCATGAGAGGGAGGAGGGTCAGAGGGAGAAGCAGACCCCCCGCCGCGCAGGGAGCCCGATGTGGGACTCGATCCCGGGACTCCAGGATCATGACCTGAGCCTAAGGCAGTTGCTTAACCAACTGAGCCACCCAGGCGCCCGTTGTAGCCTTTTCTTGAGGGCCCTCACCCCAAGCCCACGTCAGTGTGCCCTCTTACACCCACACAGACAAGGAGCCCCTGTGGGCAGAACAACTTGGGGCTGACTGACTCACGGACAGGGCTGGAGTACCCTGGGCAGGGTTGGCCACCGGGCCCTGGCCAGTCCCTGCGCTTATGGAGGAGGCTGCCCCATGGGGGTGGGGTAGGGTCACACACACAACGCGTGGGGACCTCTAGGGGTTGGCTGGGAGTGCCGAGCACCCGCCCCACCCTGACAAAGGGCCTGGGCACTGACCTTGCTGCAGCTAGCAAGATGCGCCTTAAGACCAGACACACTGGAGTAGATGGCTTCACAGCACTGGGGACAGGAGACAATCGTGAGAGAGAACCTCCCAGCAGATGCTCCCAACAAATACACACGCACCCCTTGCTCAGGGGATATGAGTGCAGGGCTTGGCCCCAGGAAGCCTGGGGTATGGGCAGGCTGGACCTCTCCATCTAAGGACCCTGCAGGGGCCCAGGGATCACAGGTAAGCTGGCCACTTGGAGGCCCCCTACCCAGGGCCATGCCCGAGCTCCTTGTCCTTGAATCCCAGTGTCCCCACACCCACCCCACCAGCCTGCCCCAACTCACATCATTGGGGCAGTTGACATGGCCTTTCTCCTTGACTTCATTCTTCCATGCCTCCAGCAGCTGGGGGTTGAGCGTGGGGAGGCCTGGCCGAGTGTAGTTGAGCTGTAAAAACAGGTGCACACGGGGGTGAGCCCAGTGGGCCTGCGAAAGGGGAGCTCCCAAGTGCCAGGCCAGGGCTGAGCCCAGATACCCGCAACTGCTCTAAGGACCTCAAGTGCGCCCTCCACAAGTTTGAACCTGGACAGTCAACCAATGGCCTAGGTCACAGGGGCAGGACTGTCGCAAGGGACCCGGAGCTAGGTCACGTCCTCACCCGGGCAGTCTCAGGTACCAGGTCGTCCTTCACCCGCCGCTTGGTCCAGTCTCGAGCTAGTTCGTCCTCTGCAATCTCCTGCAGGTGGAATACGGCCACCTGGGCTGAGGTGCGGCGGATGCGGCCGCTGGGGGTCCGCTCGACTCCCAGCAGGTCCTCAGTTTCAGGGGGCTTGTCCTCAGGCTCCTCAGGTGGCTGCAGAGCAGGGAGGCCAGAGTGACCCACAGGAGCCATGGGGCATACGGGCCATGAGTCGCGAACACAGGGGCACCTTGCGGGGAGGGCCCCAGGCTCACGATTCCTCACGCACTCGGCCCCCAGGAAGGGAGGACCCAGGCCCCGGGCTGCTCACCGGGGCCGTGTGCTCTGAGCGCATGTGGTAATCGTGTCCAGCCTTGGAGCGGTAGGTCTTTCCACAGTGGGCGCAGGGGAAGGAGGGGCTGTCCACCTCACACGGAGGCTTTCCACAGCGTCGCTGGTGGTACTGGTAGCCCATGAGGCTGGAGAAGGCGGCCCCGCAGCCCTGGGGTCGGGCTTGGGTAAGTGGCCGGCAAGAGGCTGGGCCTCATCCCACACGTGCGCCCCACACCCTGCCATCCCACTGACCTCCTGAGGGCAGCGCAGCCTCCCCATCTGCTTCAGCACCTTGCGCAGCCGCTCCCGCTCCTCCTGCTCACTCCCCTCCGAGGCCTCAGCGTCAGAGGGCTGGGGGGCAGGCCCAGCCTTAAGATCCCCACCACCACAGGGCCCCACCCCTGCCCAGGGTCAGGGCCACAGATGTCCAAGGTCAGGCATGGGAGCCTGCGCCCCGTGGCTGCGCCTTCGCTCTGCTGCCATGTCGTGATGAAAGGTCAGCGGGCAGGGCAGGGAGGGCGGGGTGGGACGGACTAGGAGGCCAGTGGTGGGCGGGTCAGGGCGTACCTTAGCGCTGTGTTCGGCCATGGTGTGATAGTTGAGGCCGGCCTTCGATTTGAACTGTTTCCGACAGTGCTGACACTTGAGAGCGTCCTGCAGCTGCAGACCCGTCCCGGCCGTGAGACGCTGACTCTGAGCACCTCCCCACCCGGACCCCAGGACAGCTTTACCTTCTGACACACTTCCATGTGCTTCTTGAGCCCCACGAGGGTCTTTCGGGTGACCACGTTGCAGGTGGGGCAGACGGCCTCCCCCCGTTCATGGATGGCCCGCTGCCACTGCTCCTCAGGGCCACCTGTGGGGCAGGGCCAGGGCCTCAGGGACTGGTGGGGGCTCCCGGACGCCCTGGACGCCAAGCACAGGACCCACGGTCCACGCTCAGCCCCTAGTCCCTGTGGTCCAGGATCTGCCCCAGAGTTGAGATCTGTCCTGGGCCCCGCTTCCCGGCAGCCCCCCGACCTGGAGCTGGGTGGGCCGTGGGGGCCGGCACTTCCTTGCTGACAGTACTAGCCGGAGCCAGCACCTTCTTCCGCACATCCTCGGGGCCCGGCCCCTCCTGCTTCTTGGCGCGGTGCACGCGGGATTTGTCCTCTGCCTTGGCTAGGCCTGCGTGCACATACACAGGAGGGCAGCTGTGAGCCGAGGGTGCAGTCACACTGTGCGTGCATCCAGCTCCAGATGCGGGTGCCACGGGGCATACGGGCCATGCCAGGGCCCTACCTTTGAGTCCGAAGGTCCCTGAGATGGACGGCTGCTCCCCTGTAAACTTCTTGGGTGTTTTCTGTTTCCTTCCTGACTCGGGGGAGAGAAGACAGGGCCCGAGGTTCTGGTCAAATAACCATCGGGAAGCCTGGGCCAGCGGACAGCTACCCCACGCCAGCCACTGCCCCCCCGCTCTCCTCTTACTGTGCTTTGTGCGCTCCGCTCCCTCCTCAGGTGGGGACACAGGGCCTGCGGCCCTCGGTGCTTCCTTGCTCCCCAAGAGCCTGCTGCCCAGGGAGAGGGGGCTGCCGCTGGGGTCTGTGCTCAGCTGGAAGGCCGAGCTGTGGCCCATGGTGGAGGGGCCATACTCCCCATTCTCGGGCCTCGCCTGCTTTGGCAGGATGGGGCAGGCATCCAGGCTGTCCGCTGCCCTGCAGGGAGCAGGCAGGTGAGGGGCAGGAGGGCCCACCTTGGGCCCTGTTACCACCTCCAACCCAGAAGGAGACCCCATACCTTTTCTTACCGCTGCTCCTCCCTGTGGCACGAGGAGCTTTGTTCTCAGACTTGGTCAGCAGCACCATTTTGCAAGGTGGTGTGTGCCTGCTGATGGCAATGGGCCTGCTGACCGTCACTGGCTTACTGACCACAATGGGCCTGCTGACCGTCACTGGCTTCGTGACTGGCACGGGTTTTGCAACTGTCACAAGCTTTGTCATCGGCACCGGTTTGTTGATGGTCACCGGTTTGGTAACCGGCACGGATTTGGTGACTGGCACTGGCTTATTGAGAGTCACTGCCTTGGTGACCGGCACAGACTTGGTGACTGGCATGGGTTTGGTGACCGGCACAGGCCTGCTGACCGTGACAGCCTTGGTGACCGGCACAGGCCTGCTGACCGTCACTGGCTTGGTGACCGGCACAGGCCTGCTGACCGTCACTGGCTTGCTGATGCCGATGGGTTTGCTGACACCCACAGGTTTGCCAATAGTGACCGGTTTGCTCACTCCAATGGGCTTGCTGACTCCAACGGGCCGGCTGATGGTGACTGGCCGGCTGACGGGCCCAGGCTTGGGGGCAGGCAGGGGTCGGTCCATGTGGTTCCAAATGCGGTGCTTCTCCAGCTGGGTCTTGGAGGTGAAGGCAGCCTCACAGAAGGGGCAGGGAAAGGTCAGCCTTTCTGGGATGGCGCCCTGAGAGGAAAGGGCAGACATGGGGAGGACGGCCTGAGGCCACTGCCCACACACACCCTACACAGGCAGGTGGGGCAAGGTGGGCCCCAGGCCTCTTCCTCCTCCCTGCCCCACCGCCCCTTACCCCTTGACAGCGCTGGTAATGATACTTGAGCCCGTAGATGCTGGGGAATTCCAGCCAGCACCCTGAGTTTGGACACTTCACCCTTGAGTGTGCCTTGAATTCGTCTTTCCACTGGTTCATCAGGGAGAGCTGGGCACGGAAAAGGCGAGGCTGCTGACCCCTCAGCCAGCTGGGCCTCTGCCAAGCCCAGCCTCAGACTCAGCACCCTCCCCAGGCCTGCAGGGCAGACAGGCAGCAAGAACCCCCGCACCTCAGGACTGCAGCAAGACTCAGGCCGCTCTGAGCAGCGACTGTGTACTACACCTGTTCTAAAGCCCCACAGACGTGGTCCACTAGGTCCCAGGCCACAAGACGGAGCCTTAAAGCATGGAGCGACCCTCCGACGCAGGCTGGGAGGGCTTGGGGCTGGATGTATGGCAAGCTAGCTAAGGCAGGGCAGTGGTCACGACAGGCAGATCCCAGTGTGAGTCCCACCCCAGCCTTCAGGGAGCTCACAGGAATGTCTCGGAGGGCCTGGTTCTCAGCTTTCGGACGCCCCTTCTTCTTCCCTTCGGTCCTGTCACTGGCTGGACTTCCCGAGTCAAAGCAGAGTGGGGCCTGGCTGGGCACTGTCTGCCCACCCCGGGCCACCGGCATCCCTGCAACACATGATATGCCAAGACTTAGAAGCTTTGCTTCCCACGGCCTCGCCTGCCACCCAGGGGGCTGGTCAGGCCTGGAGTAAGCCCCACTTCCCCCATAGTGAAGCATGGGGAATGGGAGACTATGGTCAGCCTAGGACAAGAATCCAGGGCCCCAGGCTGCCCCCACCCTGGGAAGGCTTTCAAGAGCCCAGGCAGCCCAGGAGCCGGACCACTGGGGAGCTGGGAGCTGGGGAGGAGTCCCACACCCAGCACTGGCTGCCTGCGATGATTGCCTGGAGTTGACCTTGGCCTGACCTCTCTTACCCAACTTTGGTGGGTCGTGCAGCACAGGAAGTCGGACCTCATTCCGGCCTCCATCCTTCCCAGGTCCACTCTTGGTGGACCCTGGGAGCCGGCGGCCTCCTCCAACGCAGAAGGGATCAGTCATCTCTGCACAGCAAGTGGACAGACTTGTGAGGCCTACCAGGCCTGAGCCAGGACTTGAAATGGGCTGTCCCTGAGCCCCACCCCCCGACAGGCCCCTCTCTGGCTCAGGAAAGGAGAGACTACCTGCCTATGTATTTGGCCACATGGGAAAATAGATGATGGAGGCTTCTGGTTTAGGGGAGGGGCTGCCCAGATGAGGTCCCCCCAGATTATACAGGAGACACAATTATCTTGGAAGCATCTAACCCTGTCCTGAAACCCTCATCAGCTCCCACAGACTTCTTCTGTCCCCAGACACACAGTCCCAAAGAGTGCCAAGAATCACACCTGCTACCGGGCTGGCGGGGGGGGGCCCTAGAGAGGTGGAGTGTTCAGAAGGAAAGAGGTCAACAGCATCACTCCCAGAGGCCAATCACGACACCAATATGGCCGCTAGCTCACAGGCTGTGCTGGCCCAGGACCTTGGGACACCTTTCTCCACAGCCCCACCCAGACCAAAGGCAATGCCACCCTACCTGGGTGGGCATCCCTGGATCCTCCTCTCCAGGACACAGGTGGAAGATAGCCAAGATGGGCACTGAGGGCCCCTAGCCTACTCCCCAACTTAGCAAGTTCCCCAGGGGACATGGGCGGCTGATCAAGGACTGAGCACCCTACAAGCACCTGGTTCTGGTCCCCATGCCAGCTGAACCATCCTATCTGATCCTCTTCTCAGCCTTGTCTCCAGCAGGAATCCCTCAGCCAACCCTCCACCTGGCTGACCTCCCCACCTCCACCCTCAAAAGCCTCTCTGTCCCCCACCTACAGGCCCACCAGCACCACTCCTCCAGAGACCACCAGCCACTGGCCACAAGGAATACCCCACTGCCCAAGGCTGGGTCTCCATAGGCCTGTTCTGCCGGGGGACCCCAGACCCTGAGAGCTGGGGGCAGGGACTCTGAGCTCAGCCCTCTGGATCCTCCCACAGGGACACCCAAGGCCACAGGAAGGGGGCTGGGGGCAGTTGTGTGGGCAGGGGGCACCTCCTCTGGTAGTTCCCAACTAACTTAGATCAGAAGAAATGTGGAGAGACTGCAGTGCCTAGAGGGGATCCAGAGGCTGAGGTCAAAGGTAAGGACAGTCACTGCCCTCTGCCAAGGGGGTGCCCGTATCCTAAGCCTGGGGGGAGGTACAGGTCTACGTGGGCCTAAACAAACTTCTCCGAAGTCCTCACGCGGAAACTTCTAAAGGAGACTGCCAGCATCAGTCACCCCAGCGCCAGGATGAATCCAACAGCCTGGGGTGTGGGTGCCTGCCAAGAACCCACTTTCCAATCTCTCTCCAGCTTGGGTGGAGAATTCAGAGCTGGGGGGTTGGGGCCAGGGCTGCCCTAGGAGGCTGACACCCTCTTTCCATCCAGGACCTGTCACTTGCACAACAGGAGGAAAAGAGATTCCACCCTGCCTGAGGGCCCAGCAGGGTCGCAGAGGTGGGACACTCGCGGGGGTGGGGGGGCGCGCCCCAAGCAACCCTGGCGGCAGGACGGTAGCCAAGGCTGGGCGCAGGGATGAGGCTGGCCAGAGAATGCACACCTGGAGGCTGGCCTTGCCACCCACCTGCCACCTGCGGCCGGGGTGCGGGGCCCTGGCTTGGCCCCGAAAGGGCCTATTGCAGGCGCCGGGGGGGGGGGCGGGGGGGGCGAAGGCAGTGAACCAAAATGGCGACTTTTTCTGGAGAAGGAGGAGGCAGGAGCGCGGCGCCGGCGCGGGGCGCGGCGCTGGGCGGGGGGGGGGGGTCCGGGCGCGGCGGGGGTGCGGCGGGCGGGGGCTCCGGGCCCGGCCCCCACACCCCCCCCCCGACCTGCGCGCGGGGTCAGGGTCGGGGACGCGGCCGAGCGATGGCTGCTCCGGGGTCCGGCCCGGGGCGCGGCCGGGTGCTTACCTGCGGCGCCCAGCGGGACGGCGGCCGGGGCGGGGGCCGGGGCCGGGGCGCTGGGCGCGGGGCGCGGGGTCCGGGCGGCGCAGGCTGCGCGCCGCGCTGCGCACATGCGCGCTCCCGCCCCTCCCACCTTTGACAGTTTTACTGTGGGGGGGAGGGGGCGAACTCTCGCGGTATTCCTGCAGCAGCTCCGCGACGGGGAGGAACGGGTTGGGGGGAGGGGGCCCATCGGCCCGGCCGGCCCCCTTTCCCCGCTCCCGACTCCGTCGCCTCCGTCGGCCAGGGCTCCGGTGCAGATTGGCCAGTTATGCCGCCCGTAGGGCAAGAGGCGTTTTTCAGGCAATGGGGTAAACTGAGGCACTGTAGGGGCTCTGGGAACTGCTCGAAGCCCAGGGTACGCGGATGCAAGCGACCAGATGCCTCTAGGTGCTGGCTCTGGGAGGGTGCTCCCATGGAGACCACCATCCTCTGGGAGTCGAACTCCTGGCCCCAGGGAGTCTTGCGCCTGCAGAGCGGGATCTGGGTGTCTTCCAACGAGTCCCGTGACCACCTCTGTCTGTGGCCACACTCAGATCATTGCCTGGCTCCTAGCAGTGCTGGGGCAGTTTGAGGCCGTGGGCCCTACTGGGGCTACTGACCATCGGACCAGCCTCCGTCTGCTTCGGGTGGGGGTGATTCTAGGCCAGCCGTGCTTTGCTCCACGGTACCCCAGAACCCGGGCCTGTGAGGGCACCCCAGTATCAGGTCTGGGGGAATGGGGCACCAACCCTACCAGGACTTGGGAAGAGGTACTAGTTGGGAAACAGTTACAAGGTGCACCCTTCCCCACCCCCTACTCCTCTCCCCACTTCACACTTCTGTGTACCCTGGAACAGGTTGGGTGCATTGCTTGGGGGCAGGGCACAAGAGGTCAGATTGGGGTCTGCCTGTTCTCACAGGGATTCTTGGGACCTGCTTCTCTAATGGCTGGCACAAAGTGCTCACAGAGAGAGGGGTGGGGGCCCTCTGTGCAGGGTTCAGTGGGTTAGAGCTTCCCTTGGAAATCAGAGCCAGAGAAAGGCCCACGTGACCCCAGGAGGAAGAGGGAGGGTTCTGTCCTTCCCTTATTGACGGAGCCCACACTGGGGGCAGGACATGCAGGATTTGGGGAGGGGTCAGTGCATGAGATGCAGACAAGTTTGTCGTATTTCCCCATGCCAGTCTGCATGTTCACGTGTGTAACACATCAGTGCCCATTGGTAGGTGTGTGTCTGAGTGACCATACGTGCTGGGCTGTGTCCTGTGTGGACGACCGATGTCAGGGTATGTATGTGTGTCCTGTACTAGGGGAAAAGGGTGCCTGTCTGCATGTTAATATCTGGAGGACTAGATGCACGGTGTGTGTGGCTGGAGGGACACCTGTATCTCAGCAACTGTGTGTCCAGGCTACAGCATGCCTGGATGTCAGGACGTGGTGTGCTGTGCCCCTGTGTTTATGTTAGGGGTCACTGTGTGTCAGGGTGTACTGCGGGTCTGGATACTAGCCTCCTTGTGTCTCTGTGTGTCCACACTCTGGTGGTCAGTTTATGCCCCTGTGTTGCCCTGTGTCTGGTTGCTGTGTGGGTACCCGTGTTGGGGGTGTCCTGACCTCTGTGTTTCTTATGTTAGAGCATTACCCTGCGTGGGGCACTTAACGGGGGCCCTCCAAGATTGCCACGTCAAATCCCTGGAACCCATGAATGGGACCTGATTTGGGAAAAAAAGGTCTTTGCAGATCTGCTTAAGTGAAGGGTTTTGAGATGAGAAGATCATCCTGGATTGTCCAGGTGGTCCTTAAATCCGGTAACAAGTTTCTTTGTAGGAGGAAGATTTGACACAGACAGAAGGTGATGTGAGCACCGAGGCTGGGATGGAGTGACATGCCACGAGCCCAGGAGTCCCTGGGGCAGCCACAAGAAGCTGGGAGAGGTGAGGAAGGGTTCTACCCGGGGCTCCAGGAGGCAGTGTGACCCTGCTGGGTTTCAGACTGGTGGCCTGCATCACTGGAACAAAATCCATTTCTGTTGTGTTAAGCTTCCCAGTTGTGCTCATTTGTCACGGCAGCCCCAGGAAAGTAACGCACCTCTCTCCCTGCGTCTGGGTGCAGTCCACAGGGCTGAGCCCAGGATTCTAGCCCTCTGCCTCTTTCCCCACCTGGCCCTGGGGTGAACAGGTACCCTGTCAAGATGCGACGCCACTGCCCCCTAGTGGCCCCATGGAGGCACCTGAGCTGGGCACTGGCACCCCCTCCTCCCACAGCCAGGGCCCCCCCACCCAGGGCTCTTCCCACTCTCAAACACCCAGTTGGCTGGAGCCGAACACACACTTGGGGCACTTGAGAACCAGGTTTATTTCTGGTCTTTTTGTCAGAATATAAAAAAGCGCAAAACAAAGAAGACAAGACAAGAGCATGGGGGCATGGGGGCAAGACAAAAGAGGGAGGAGGTGGGGGCAGTGATAGGAAGGACCCTCCGGAAACGACAACGCTGTGATGGCACAAGGTGGGCTGGGACAATCAGGGTGGCCAGACAGGACATGGGGGCTTCCTATATCGGCCTACAGGATGGGGAGCACCAGGCCAAATTCCACTCAGGACCTGCAGCAACCAACCTCCCACCTGGAGGCCAGCTCAGGGCACAGAGAAGAGGCTGGAGGCTCAGCCTCATCTGTCCCTGAAATTTTCAGAGTTCCCTAGGGGAATGGGAAGGCAGAGGAGCAAGAGGGTGGGGGCTACCAGGACCACCCTCACTGTCCCTCTGCTGGGCAGCACCAGTCCCAAACCTTGGGCCCCCTGACCCACGGAGTGGTTGCTGAGGGGCTGGCTGCTTAAGTGAAGGGTTTTGAGATGAGAAGATCATCCTGGATTGTCCAGGATGTGTGTGGCTGGAGGGACACCTGTATCTCAGCAACTGTGAGGCTACAGGGTGGATGGGGGTGAGGAGGGGTGGAGATGTCTGGCATCTCCGTTCTGCCCTGGGCACAGGACAGGGTGTGGGCGATGCAGCCCTCAGGACAGTCTCTTCTATGAATTCGGATTTTCCTGGGAAAGGAACAGTGAGAATGCACATGCCCCCGACTGTGCCTCAGGGCAGCTCCCCAACAAATGTTGGGAGAGCAGGAGCTGAACTCCCAAACCCAAGGCCACAACATGGCTGAGCCTAATCCTGGCTATGGGGTCCTCATGGTGCTGTGTTAGGTCTTAGGCACCTGAGCAATCCCCAGACCTCTCTTGCTTCAGGTCCTGGGAATAGATGGGGGTGTGGTGAGGGTCTCAGAAATCATGAGGGAGAGTTCTTGGCGGCTGCTGCTGACCATGGGGGGGGGGGTGGCCCTGGCCAAAGGGAGCCTGCACAGTTCATCCCACCTGTGCCGGCAATCCTCTAGGTGCTGGGTGAAGGTTCGTAGAACTGGACAAATGGGCAGACACAAACCTCTTGCCCTGGGGAGGGCAGGATGCCCAGAGGGAGCGTGACTCAGCAGGCAATAGGGGCGCAGACATCAGTGTGGGTGAAGGGAATATAAATAATAAAGAGACTCCCTGGGAGTCTAGGGGGATAGCCAGACCCTGCCCTGGCTCCAGGTAGCTGCCCCGCATGCTGCCAGCAGCACCAGAGGGTAGATTTGGGCTCAGGTCCTGGGAGGAAGGGCCACACCCAAGCAGCCCCCACCTGCTCACAGCCCAGAATGCACAACCAGAGATGGCAATCCTGGTCCCACCTGTCCACTGGGTTGGGCTCAGCCCCTGGCGCCTCTGGCGGGGTCCGAGAGGGGCTGTGTGCCAGGTCTGCATCGTCCTTGCCACAGGCTCTGGTCACAGTGCTGGGGTCCGGGCTTCAAGCCCCAGGCAGCAGCTAGGACGTGTTTCCGAAAGAGGCTACAGGGTGGATGGGGGTGAGGAGGGGTGGAGATGTCTGGCATCTCCGTTCTGCCCTGGGCACAGGACAGCCCTTACTGGCGCCTGCGGCTGCCCCCCTGAGGTCAGCCCACCCACCCCACACTTGGGCCTCCCAGCCCAGCCTCTCCCCCACCCCCATGCTTCCCGCACACTCCTGCCTCCCCACTGACCTTGGCTGAGCAGCTGCAGGCTCCGCCCCTCCTCGCGCACCTGCAGGCGCAGCACCTGCTGTAGCACTTCTTGCCGCTGTGCTTCCTGCGCCAGCCCCATCCGCTGCAGTTTCTCCCCATTCAGCCGCAGCAGCGCCCGGCCTGAGAGCGAGGGGGAGAGGGCCGAGCCAAGGTCAGCATCCAAGGGGCATCAGGAGCCAAGGCCAAGAGAGAGAAAGGGGAGGGGCACACAGAGAGACTCGAGGACAGGGAAAGAGAGGCGGAGACACAGAGATTTAGAGAGACAGGGAGAGAAGGTGAGAGGCAGCGGAAAGGCCAGGGCAGGCAGAGCCCGGGCAGAGAAACACACTGGGGAGACTGAAGAGACTGGAAGGAGAGGTCGGCTCAGCAGGAAACAGGAGGGAGGGAACAAGGGCAGGCTGGGGGGATCCCTATGCCCCTCCCGACACCCCGCCCCCAAGGCACCTGTGATGGCGTGCTGGGAGAAGGCCTCCACGTAGACGAGGTAGTTGTGGGGACAGTGCTTCTTGAGCCACTTGCACACGTCCTGCTGACTCCACAGGACCACAGGCCTCGTCAGGCCGCCCAGGGAGGGGCTTGTGTGGTACAGGCCATAGTGGTCAGAGTACAGCCGGCCCTGCGGAGCAGATGGGTGGCAGCTGGGGTGAGGTGGTGGGAAGGGAAGGGGCTGAGGTGGGTACGGTGGGTGGGTACCTGGGGGGCCTCTGTGCCAGGCTGCTGCAGGAGCTTGACAGGCCGGCCACCAGCGGCCCTCTGGCTACGGGAGTCGTGCCACGTGAGGCTGGTGCCCGGCGTCCGAGGCAGGTGGCAGGGGATGCTCTCAGTGGACACCGTGTGCTCCAGGAGGGTTTGGCAGAAGCCGAAGTGTGCAGCAGCTGCAGAGCATGGGCGCCTGATCAGAGTGGTCAGGGGCAGGGCCAGAGGATCGTCTCTCTGCAAACCAGCTCCCTGCTCAACCCATCCTCCCTCCAACAAAGGAGAGGGCCCCAAGCCCCCAAAGGTAGAAAGGAAGCGTGCAAAGGCTGTCTTGAGTACCCCACCCAGTCCAAAGATGACGAACTGGGAACATCTTTCCTCTTCTGAGTGCATCTGGGGAGCAGGATGGATTCTGCTTCGATTAGAGAGACAATGTGCCCACCAGGAGCATAAGACTTACAGCCTGGTGAGGGGCTATCCTGAGACAGGCCTGATGTCATCCTTGCTTTGGGCTGACAAATGCTGAACCAGACCAGGGTTCAGGGAACCAGACCAGGCACCTATGTCCTGGGAGACCCTGCGTGAGGGCGACCCTCTGAGTATGCTGCCTTCCCATCACCACTGAAGGCACCTAGGCTCTGCGGCCATACCTGGCATTTGAGACTTGGCTCCTGTCCTGCTGTGCTCACCTGCCAACCCATCGACAGGAAGCCTGAATGGACTCTGGGCAAGCCGGCAACCAGGTTACCTGCTCTTCCACCTGCCACAGGGCCCTTGGCCCAGGACAACTCCTGTGCATGCTGGGTGTCCAGCGGACATGGGCTGCTCAGTGCAGGTGTGTAGGGCCCAGCCATATGCTCAGGGAGCCATAGTGACACCTTGTGCCCTCTCTTCCCACACACACTTCACTACACTCAAGCTGTAGTTTCACCTTCATTTCTGCACTTGTTGCTCACATGGCTCACGGGAGGCAGACACCTGAGCGGTCACCTCCCAGCCCTTGCACATGTCTTGGCACACAGGAGGTGCCCAGAAACATTGTGGATGGATGGGTGGATGGAGAAAGGCTCTGTGTGGTGTCCACAAGTCAGTAGAGCCCTGGGGAGAGGGAGGAACCTGGGCCCAGGCTTGCCCTCATCTTTACAGCATCTAGGTCCCAATTCAGCAGGCAGAAGCAGGTTCCTGGTCACGGCCCTTGCCTCACTGGCTCTCAGCACTAAAATGAGAGACCCTCTCTCTCATGGACACACCTCAGGCCCTCAACTGAGGGCAGAGTTTGGCGATGTGCCCAGGAGGTCTCAGTAATGGGGAAAACCAATCACTCCCCCTCCTTCTACCCCTCAAGATTCCTTGGATTTAGCAACCCCTCTTCATTCTTGCAATTTCCCGGAATTGAATGACCCCAGGTGACTCTAAATTTTGAGATCCAGGGTCAAACAGAGGGTGTGGCTGGTGTGGTTGCTGCCCCGATGTGGCTTCTAATATCGTCGAAGAAGACTTATTCTAAGCTGGCATCTTTCAGGGCACAGGTTCTTGAGCCACTTGGCCTCACATCGCAGGGCCTCGCGGAGCCCGGCCGGGCCAGGGCAGGAGCGTGAAGCTCTGGGCGAACCAGTCGGACGCCACAGCGTGCGCTACACCTGTCCGGGTCCAGCCGGGCCCCGCCCATTTCCTGCCCTTGCTCGGGGAAGGATCTCCGTCTTTCCGTCTGTCAGCCCGTCGTTCCGTCCCTCCCTCTTAGCCCCAACGTCAGAATTCCAGCATAAAATGGGGCGGGGGCGCCCAAGCCCGGCTGTGGCCTCGGCTCTCTCTCGGCCCCACTTCAAGAGCTAGGGAAGGAAGGGCGCGCAAAGGAAAAGGCGACCGCGGGATGGTGCCGGCCTAAGGACAGGAGCCCCAGCCGGTAACCTCCTCCAAGCCAAGGGTGCGCTGATTCCCCAAGGCCTGAGGCCACCCCCCCAGCTCAGGACAAAGACACCAGGGACCCCGTTCGGCCAGGACGCGCGCCCCACTCCGCTCCAAGCCGTTGCTTGGAGTCCGCCAGATCCCGCCCCCATCCCTCTCGGTCCCCCCAGCCCCCAACCCGCGACATCCCCGCGCCCTGGTCCAGTCCTGCTCACCGTCCACATCCCGGCGCTCCCCGAAGCCGGCACGCACAGCCCCGGCGCGGCCTCGCGGGGGGCTCAGCTTGGTCCTTAGCTCCGTGAACATGGGGCCCAAGGATCCCGGGCCGGTGCACACGCCCCTCGCCGGGGGCAAGGCGGCCCGTGTGGCCGGCGGGGAACGCGCGCCGCTGCCCCGCCCCAGCCGGCCCCGCGCCCGAGCCGGTCCCCGCGCCCGGCGAGTCTGCGCGGCGAGGCACCTGCCTGTGAGCCCCGAGTGCCGGGCGCGCTCTGGGAGCTCCGAGGTGTGTCGGCGGCGCGCAGGTCTGCATATGCAAAGGGTGTCTGCCGGGGTGTAAGGGGCGATCTCGCACACCTCGGCATAGCTTCAAGGACGAGTGACTCTGTGTACCTTTAGGGGTCCAGACGTCTCAAGGGGCCTCTGAGGCAGGGAAATAAGGAAGCGATCTTCCCCGCGCCGAGGGAGGGGACAGGAGGGGAGCACCCTACCTGCTGCCGGGATCATCTGTCCACTGGGGCCCAGGGTCAAGGGCCAGACTGACCCCTCTCAACCATTTCCCTCCATTCTCCGACCTCAATTTACTGACTCCTTTATTCACGCGTTCTCCAGACATCTCCAGAGGCACTTGCTTCCCCAGACCCCCCCCCTCTCTTTTTAAAGATTTTATTTATTTATTTGACAGAGAGAAAGAGACAGCGAGAGAGGAAACACAAGCAGGGGGAGTGGGAGAGGGAGAAGCAGGCTTCCCGCGGAGCAGGGAGCCCGATGCTGGGCTTGATCCCAGGACCCTGGGACCATGACCTGAGCGGAAGGCAGGCGCTTAACGACTGAGCCACCCAGGCGCCCCAGACCCTCTCTTAACCCCCACCACAATGTGAACTCCAGGAAGACAGCCAGTCAGGGTCTCTGCCCTTCCCTCTGTAGCCCGAGGGACTCAGTGCCCAGGTTGTGGCTCTGAAAGCGGTTTGGCTGGGAATGGGAAGGAGAGAGAAGCTCCAAGGAGGCTGCAGCAGGCAAGAGGGAAGCGTTTGTTCCAGGACCCCACTGAGAAGTGCTAGGGTGGGCTGGAGGCTGCCCGGTGCAGAAGTCCAGACTTGCTACCAACTGAGTTATGCCTGCTCTGCCAGAAGTCTGGGTGCTCTCCCCAGGTGTAAGTGGGAGCAGCTGTCCCACAGTAGAAGGAGCAGAGGAACACACAGAGATCCAGAAGTGTACGCAGAGTAGTCCTGTGTGTCCGCCAGGTCATCCGACTAGTACCCAAGCCCACGACACACTCAGGTAGAGATTTGCACGGAATTCACCCACGTGCCGTGGCCACGTATGTCGCATACCGAACTGTTCCTGGCATATCTCCTGCATTTACTTATTTTCGCCAATTAGCCTCCACCCTCACTGCCACGTTCAGGGTATGGTGGGGGTGGCTGGGGGGCGGCGGAGCCTGCACGGGGACCGGTGCCTGAACTGCGGCTCCGGAGTCTGAGCGCCGAGAGCTCGAGCCTGCACACCCGGGCACGCGCAGGCAGGTGTGCCCACAATCACGACACACACACCGCACACCAGCTGTCCACAGCCAGACGGGCGTGCGGCTCCGCTCAGATGTGTTACGGTCTGCCCCGTGGCCAAGACAACTCTGAAGGGAGAGGGGAATGGCTGGGCCTGATTCTGAGGGGTCCTTGGCGGCTGGGCTGACTCAGGGAGGGGGCCCATGGCTCCCGCTCGTACAGGCGGGTCTCCTCGGAAATACGTCGAAAGCACGCAGTAAGTAAAAGATGCCCCACGCTCAGTTTTGAGATCCTGCAGGGTTTCTCCAGGATGATGTCGCTCCCGCACGTCTCCAGCAGGGCAGCCAGCACGCCTCGCCGCGGTCAGGCGCTCCCGCGCATGCGCCCATCAGACCCCCTCGCTCCCACCGCAGCCGGAAGTCGCTTTCAGGAACTTCCGCCCGGGGAAGGCAGGGTGGGCGGGGCTTCGTGCAGCCCGCGAGCTCTGCTTCCGGGGCGCGGGTGACGCAGGTTCCGCCCGCTCTTCCCGCTGAGCCGCCGGGGTCGTCAGTGGTCTCTTTGGCCTTCGGCCGGCCGCGGCCTCCGTCCCGTCCCTTCCGGCCCCTGGTCGTCACCGGCGCCATGAACAAGAAGAAGAAGCCGTTCTTGGGCATGCCCGCGCCGCTCGGCTACGTGCCGGGGCTGGGCCGGGGGTGAGGCCTGGGGCGAACCGCGCCGGGGGGCGGGAGCGGGAGCGGGCAGAGCGGGCGGCGCGGGCCCGGGGCCCTGCGGGCAGAGCGGGCGGCGCGGGCCCGGGGCAGGGGCGGGGGGCGGGCCCGCCGTCGTCGCTGCGCGCGCTTGTCTCGGGGAGGCCGTGGGAGGCGGGCGTCTTGCGGCGGCGGCGGGGAAGACGAGGAGGACCAGCTAGGGTCTGTGGCCACACCGTCTGGAAGGCGTTCCTGGGCTTGGCGTGTGCTCGTTGGAGGGGGAGTGCTTTGGGGCGAGGACAGCGCCGAGTGCCACTGCCGCTGGTCCCGAGACGTGAGACGCGGGCTTTAGCGTTGGCCGGGAGCCCGTGTTTGGTCTCTGAGGTGCGGAGCGGGGACTCCGTGGCTACTGTCCCCAAGCCGGGCAGACCCCCACCCCCGTCTGAAGCGTGAGTGATCCTTCCCCTGTGCTTCGGTCGTCGTGCTCGGCGTGCGGAAACGCTCAGCCCTGGCAGGGACCGGGTCTCCCGTGCCTGGCGCGCCGATGACCTCCATGAATCGTCGAATAAATGAGCCGTCGTCGTCGTTCTGTCTGTCTGGTCGTGCATTGGTTTAGAGCGGGTATTGGGTTTCCTCGGGGGGGTGAGGTGTTAGCATCTGTGCGGAGTACAGTCTGTCTTACGGATACCGTCTTCCGAAGACCTGCAGTTTACTAGGAGGTGCGAGAGATTTGCATTTTTAAGTACACAAAGAGAAACGTGGACAAGTCCGGGGTGGCAGCGATCAGGAATGCTCTGTGGAATGGTAGCATTTGAGCCCCATTTGATGGAAGAGCTGCATTTAGGGATGTAGAAATGTGGTACGGTTAAAGGAGAAATGACATTTTGTGTGCTGGGTAGTTAGGAAAAAAAGACCCGCATGGAGGAAGATGAGGGACTCTCAGGGAGTCTGTGTGAGTGGAGTGTCCGGTGAGTGGGGTCAGGGGGCCAGAGCTGTAGGAGAGACAGGCTTCGGAGTGCCGTGGTCAGAGCTGGGTTGAAGCAACAGGAAGGCTAGAGGCAGGGTGGCTAACAGGTTCCCAGCTGTGATGGGCGTCAAGGTTTGGGGAGGACGATCTCAGAGGTGGACTCCGTAGAGCTTGATGACTGGTAGGGTGGAGAAGAAGGGAGCGCTGATGGTGTAGAGCCTGCTGCGGTACTTGGGGTGGCCCTGCAGTCATCGGCTGAGACAACCCAGGGCCGCTGCAGGATGAGCACAGAGAAGGAATCCTGATTGAGTCAAGTTGGGTTTGAGGGCCTGGGGGAGATGATCAGCAGGTTGTTAGGAATGGGAGGCTGGAAGTTGGGAGGAGGGCGGTCTGATGCTCTGGTGAATCTCTCAAGGAGAGTATGGGGTGGGAGCCTCCTCAGGGCAGGTCAGAAGGTTTCTCACCTGAAGAGAACAGACTAGTAATGTTTGAGAGTGCAGCGCACCTCGTTTGTTGCTCCCTGGATCTTCTGCAGTTTCTCAGAGATGTTAGAAAAAGAGGTGTTACTAAGTGAGGACTGTGGAGGGAAGAACAAAGGGCCACAGTCACCCAGGTAAATGGGTGTCTTGGGGGTCCTGCAGTGCCACTGGCTTTACCACCCGGTCAGACATTGGCCCCGCCCGCGATGCAAATGACCCTGTGGATGACCGCCATGCGCCCCCAGGCAAGAGGACCGTTGGGGACCAAATGAAGAAAAGCCAGGCTGCGGATGATGATGACGAGGATCTGAATGACACCAACTATGATGAGGTGACTTGTGGTGCACCCCCAGCCAGTCTCCAGGAGGGCTGACCAGCTTCTTAAGCCAGTGCTCAGGGAGGCGGGCACGTCTAGTATTTCAGCCTGCTTATGGGGTGTCTTTAGCACAGTGTGAGGGGGGAGCAGAGAGTCATAGAAAGAAATGTACGTTTTGTTGTCTCTTCAGGAGAGATGTACTTGCACTGGGGTTTTGTCTCGGCTGGTCCTTGATGAAAATTCTGAGTGGAATTGGTGATGATACCGTGATTTATTTGATCTCAGTGCATACTCTCTTACTTAATTAGTATTTGGTCAATTGAAGTTTTCTTCAGATGTGTTCCGACAGAATTTTTGCTCAGAGGAAAAAGATTTTTGAAATTTCAATTCTGAAATGATTTTAAACTTCCGGGGGACTTGCAAAACTAGTGTGGACAATTCCTGCATGCCCTTCACAAGCTTCTCCCCATCTTACGACCTTAGTACAGTTACTCACACAGCACTGTTAGCTGCTCTGTAGGTCTCACTTGAATTCCACCAGTTTTTCACTGGTGTCCTGTTTCTGAGCCAGGACCCTGCATTGCACTTAGTTTGTCTCTTAATGTCTTCCCATTGGGGTAGCTCCTCCATCTTTCGTGCCCATGACACCTTTTTTTTTTAAGATTTATTTTTATTGTTTTTGAGAGAGAGAGAGAGTGCATGCATGGGCGTGCATGCACACACACACACACACACACGGTGGGGGAGGGGCAGAGGGAGAGGGAGAGAGAATCTCAAGCAGACTCCCTGCTGATCCTGAGCCCGGAGCCCAGTGTGGGGCTCCGTCTCAGGACCCTGAGATCATGACCTGAGGCCAAAATCAAGAGTCAGACACTCAACCAACTGAGCCACCCAGGTGCCCCTCGCACGCCCCCACCCCCAGTGACACATCTGAAGCGTACTGGTGAGTTATTTTGTTTTCCCTCATGTTGGGGTTGCCTGATTGAAAAAAATTGTTCAGCAAGCATTTTATAACTAGAAGTGTTCTCTGTTTCTGCTTGAGGGAATTGTGTTGTAGGAAAAGTTGACCTTCTATATTGTTTTGTGCTTAGTTTAATGGCTATGCTGGGAGCCTCTTCTCAAGTGGGCCCTATGAAAAGGATGATGAGGAAGCAGATGCTATTTATGCAGCTCTGGATAAAAGGATGGATGAAAGAAGAAAAGAAAGAAGGTAAGATAAATTATTGCTCTTTACACTGTAATTACCCAACTTTATTTATTTCTCTATTATTTAATTTAATTTTTTTTTTTTAAATTTATTCATTTGAGAGGGAGAGAGACAGAGAGAGTGAGAGAAACAGAGAGCACAAGCAGGGGGAGAGGCAGAGGGAGAGGGAGAAGCAGACTCTCCGCTGAACTGGGAGCCTGACATGGGGCTCGATCCCAGGACCCTGGGATCATGACCTGAGCCGAAGGCAGATGCTTAACCAACTGAGCCACCCAGGCGCCCCCTGTTT